AAAGGCAAAAGCGTACCTTTTGCATAATGGGTCACCAAGTTAACATTAGATGCGAGCTATTTGCGTAGTTAAACCGATGATCAAAAATGAATTAGTGTCTAAAGTTAGACCCGAAGCTAGGTGATCTTACTATAGTCAGGATTATAAAAGTCCGAACGGGTTATCGTAGCATAGATATCCGAAGAACTATGGTAAGTATAGTGAAAGACAAAACTGACCTAGATAGCTGGTTTTCTGCGAAACCTATAATAGTAGGCAATTTAAGTAACATCTTAGCAGGTACAGAACTTAATCTCAGGCAAGATGTTAATAATTTTAGAATAAATTGTAACAGATTTATTTTAAAATCGACATTTTACTTTGTACATATCGGGGGATCGTAGAGATTTTATCGGTGAGTATGTAGACTCGGAATGGCAAAGATGAATCTTGAATTATCAGACATAGAATGATAAGGTTGTATGTACAGCCTTTTTGTGGAAGTGAACCTTCTGCTATAAACCATCAAATTGCGGGAACACCCTAAAGCAATCATAACCAAGTAAGAGTAGTAATACGTCTTATGGCTCAGGTAATGACTCGAGGTATGGTAAAATCATGATTGATTAGTATTTACTAATGGGCAATCCGCAGCCAAGCACCTAAAAAGGTGTGCAGTTCATCGACTAGATGTTGGTTGGTGTCAGTTAATATTTAAACTTGATGCTTAAGATATAGTCAAGCCTCATCCGAAAGGATGCAATGGCAATAAAGTAATTTTATATAAAATTTAGATAAGCCGACTCTTACAAAAGACTTAATACGACAGGCGACTATCTTTCGAAGGATAACTGACTTATAAAGGCTGACACCCTTTATAAGTAGTGTTAATAGGTTAAGGTACTGTAAGAGAAGATGTTTAACAGCTTGCTAAATATATTATTTAGCCGGACCTAGTGGAGACACTAGTAATCTGAGAGATGAGCTTGAAGATTATTTTTCTTCATGACCCATGTTTGGAATGAGACGAACACTAAGCTGCCGGCATAAAAAAAGACATCCATAAATAAAAAAAGTCAAAAAAAACAACATATTTTTAAATAATTATTCTACTTACAGCAATGAAGCAGTAAGTGCTATTAAATGTTATGACAATGCATTATTGGATAAAAATATAATTCTTTCTGAAAATAAGGATAAATCAGGTATTTATCGTTGAGTAAATAAATTAAACAATAATACTTATGTAGGTAGTGGCTTAAATTTATCTAAAAGAGTAGGAGATTATTATAAAAAAAGTGAATTAACTAGAAATTCTAGACCTATACATACTGCTTTACTAAAATATGGTCATGAAAATTTCAAATTAGAAATTCTAGAATATTGCAAAGCAGATGAGCTACTTATAAGAGAACAGTACTATTTGGATTTATTATTACCTGAGTATAATATATTAACACATGCTTATTCTTTGTTAGGTTTTAAACATAGTCCAGAAAATATAGCTAAGTTTAAACTTAAAAAGATATCCCAAGAGCATAAAGATATATTATCTTTAACTCATTTAGGTAAAGTTGTTAGTCAAGAAACTAAAGACAAATTGTCTCTTGCTACAACCAATTATAAGAAAAATAATCCTCTTTCATCTGAAGCTTTAGCTAATATAAAAGCTAAAACAATAGAACGTGAAGGAGTAGCTGTTTCAGTATTAAATACTCAGACTAATGAAGTAATAAGTTTTCCAACTTTAACTCAAGCAGGAGAGTATTTAGGAGTAAAAAGACAAGCTATACGAAACGCAATAAATAGAGGAAGTCTTATTAAAGGACTCTATCGTGTTTCAGAATATAAGTAGGCAGTATGTACACACAAATATGTACTATTAAATATATAAAATTNACCCTAACCCTAACCCTAACCCTAACCCTAACCCTAACCCTAACCCTAACCCTAACCCTAACCCTAACCCTAACCCTAACCCTAACCCTTAACCCTAACCCTAACCCATAAATAAGTAATTATAAATTTGGCCTTTATTTATATTATTTAGAAATATAATAAAATAAGTAATAGTAAGGTTATTGTAATAATCTTAATAATATACTATTTGTTTTAACTTAATAATTTAATTAATAAATTTTTTAATATAATTATAATATTAATTAAATAGATTTTATGGTTATAGGGCCTATTTTCTATCTATATTATATTATTAGTTTTAATAATATAGCCGTAAAGTAATATTTTAATTTATATCTTTTTTATATTAATATTTAATTATATTTTATTTATTACCTTAAATAAATTTAATTTAATAATTTTTTATATTTATTTTATTATAAATTATGCGTTATTATTTATTATTATATTTTTAATATCCTAATATTATTTAATATATAGATTTATTCTATTAATTATTATTCTAAACTTTTTAATTTATAAATTATTTTATACTTTTTAAACGTTATTCATATTCTTTCGGCATAATTTAACTATAATTATTTTATATTTAATAAAAATTTTATTAATTAAATAATATTAATAAATAAAAATATTTTTTAAAATTCCAATAATGATTTATTATTAATACTTAATATATTTAAAATTTTCATAATTCTTTTATTTCTGATTGTAAATTATATTAATAAATATTTAAAATTAATTTCTTAATTTATAAAACCATTTTAATTAATCAATATTTAATTGGTTTTTTTAAAATTAAGGTTATAGGTTTAAATCCTATAATAGTTATTATTAAATAAAAGTAAAATAATTTTTAAAATAAAATTATATACTTAATATATTAGGCCTTTATAGAAAACATTCCTAATAATTAAAGATAGTATTTTATTTTTAAATATATAATTAGGTTATATTAATTAAAAAATAAAATATAAGTTTAAAAAAAAAAAAATAAATATATTTAATATAGAAAAAAATATATATAATAGGTATAAATAACCATGAAATTAATAAATATATACAATATTTAACTATTTAACTATTTAAAATAAAAGGATTAATATTAATTATTATAATTAAAAAAATGTAATAATTTAAGGACTTTATATGGTCTTAGAAGTTAAGATTACATAATAAACCCTTGCATACGATATCACTACAACACTGCACCTATTTAATACGTTTTATATATAATAATTTATTTAAATAATTAAATTAATATTTATTTTTTATATAAAAATTTTATTTATTTAAAATTAATATTTTTAATGAATTTAATTATTATTATATTAATTAAAAAAAAATGTTTAAAATTGCCTTAAATTAGAAATTAAAAAATGTTTTTAAAAAGGTATATTAGGATATGATTGGTTGGGGAAGGGTGTGGCTAAGGGAGGTATTTCTCCCCGAACCATTTTCAAATTTCTAGTCTAAGTTAGTTGAGATAAGTTTAAAGACCGATTCCGAGATTGCGACATTTTCCCAAACTTCTTCCCAAATGCTCCTGTTAAAAGCGACCTCCAATTGCTGGCACTGTTGCTTATAATACTTACAGAATTCGGTAACATTTCCTACACTCGTATATTTCCAGGCACCACATTTAAGTAATTTAAGACACAACTCTGGCCAGCAGTTCTGTAGGCAGAAACTAAGAATTGATTGCCCATTGACATTATCGTTTGGAACGGCACCGTAGTTTAAAAAACTCATAGCTATATCTGCGAAGGCTTTCCTTAGAGGTTCGTCGGTAGGTAGATTTTGCAACTGAGGCCTTTCTGCATATTCGAGAGCTTTGATAAATAATGGTTGGTCATCAGATCCCCATGCCCCAGTTGTGAGGAGCATTCGTATTATAAGCTTCCGCCTCTCAACCTCGTCATGGAACGACTTTGGGAATGCTCTCTGTATAATAGAGGGGGGAACTTCGGCCGCCTTGCTTCGAAGTAATTGCACTATTTCAACATGGGCCCCTGAAACAGCTCTCTGCAAAGCACTGGGGCCTGGTATGCCTTTGATATCTGTACATGCGCCGTAATCAAGCAAAATCCTGACACACTCTATATAGTTCATCTCAGATGCTTGTTGGAGAAGGGTGCATCCTAGACTTATTATTCCGTTTGCATTCCCTCCTTTGCGAAGTAAGCTGCGGAGTGCAAATGAGTTTTGATATCTTAATGCCATCTCGACAGGTGATACTCCTTCGTTGCATTTTATATTTGGATCAGCGCCAGATGCTAGTAGAGCCGATAGCTTTAGTTTCAAAATATCCTCCGAAACGGGCACTGTGCTAACTTTTTGAAGTTGCGTTAAAGTAACGTGAAGTGGAGTTCGACCATCTGAACTGCGAACGCTGGGATTTGCACCCAGACCTAAGGCCAGTGATAACACGTCTATATCATCTTCGAAGCAAAGCAAGGGCAATCCGTGAACCTCAAATGTATCTAATATACCCAAGGCCCCTGGCTCATATTTCAGGAGAAGATCAATTACATCCTCTGCATACTGCTTTTTGTTCGGTTTCTTTAGAACTGCGAATGCGAGTAATATTATCGGTTTTCTGTCAAAGAATGATTCTGACGGCGTTGCTCCGGAATCTAAAAGTAGTCTAACAATATCCAAATTGCCGGTATATATAGCACCTCCTAGAGGTGAATCTGCTGGTACTTCCTGGTTCACGGAAATCCCGAGGTCGATAAGACGCCTTATCACGGGACATACCCCGTCATTTATTGCCTTATTTTCAATTATAGATAGGAGTATATCTGCCCAGCGTTTTCCTTTCATGGCTTTTTGCTGATCAAATCTCACAGCAGGATGGTCAAGAAAGTTCATGATAATAGAAGTATTTAAAGGATACTGGAACGACACCAACCGAAAGAGAATCTCAGGGCTCCATTGAAGACTTTCGATGGGACTCGCACTGGCGTCTAGGAAGTATTTGATCACCCCCCAATCTACCATGTCCGTTGTAATGTAGCGCCGCAGGGTATCTGACAAAAATTTATCCCCAAGTTGAGGCGGTTCAGGCGCAGCATGGATGATACTAATGTCGCTTTCTGCTACATCATACGGTTTAAAGAAATGTTTAACTAGGGGCGCGTGAGAGTGTAGAACCGCCCAATGTAACGGAGGCATAGGATTTTCGTGTGTCGCCCAGGGTAACTGTACATGGTCCATGCCGTTTACTAGATCCTCCCACAATTGCTGTATGCCCATGTCGTCGTCAAGAGCGCGCGTATGTTCCAGCCAGTTTTCTGCTGCATAAGCAAGCAAGCATAGAGAATCCTGAACTTTACAATCATTTATGTTAATGATTTGGTTCATGATATCGATATTAGCAGTTGTTTTGCGACGATTGTGTTTGAATATAGACCCCATCAGCTTGCCCAGCCGTGGTTCATCTATAAGAACACGGGTTATAACCTTATCGAGGATTCCATCCGCGTATACCTTCTGCTGGGTAGCCACTCTGGTATCGAAAAAATCATAGTTGAGATATGTCACACAAACTGATCCCATATGTAACTCTGCCTCTTCTAATGAAAAGCGAAACGGGGCCGTACGGGGTGATTGTGGTTCCGACAATAGGTGAACTAGTGCGCTGTGGTGGATAAATAGAACCGTGCGATCCTCTTCGTCGATCTCAAGGAGGTTGCCACCGCTAACGTATACGAGTGCTTCTGGGTCTAGCGGGAGTGCGGCGGCATCCCAAACTATATTTCCAGGGGTAACAGTAGCCGCAACTTGAAATTCGTCTAGAAGTAATGGACGTGTGGCGGCTGCCACGATCTTAAAATGCCTATTGCCGTATCGTCGATCTGTGACTCTTGCAAGCGCTTGATCAAACGCTTCAGGCAGGTCCTTAGGTAGGTTTTGCAGAATATGGAGTATATCTGTTGTTGAGACAATAGTACTTGTATCCGTTGGAAGTATTGCCTCTATTTGTAAGGCAACCCAAATATACATTCCTTGGGCCCCTAATACCAACTGTTCCCTCATAAGTCTCTTTAAATCTGGATCTAGGGGTCGCAACAGAGTTCGTCTCTCAATTTCACGGTCAATAAAATCTTCAATCTCTTTATACCGATTTTGATTATTCAATGTCATAGGGATTTGGGCGCAGTTGTTGATTTTGGAGAATAGCTTTGCCTGGATTCTGGACCCTGGGTTACCAGATGAGCAGAGAAAAACCTTTCTTTTTTTCATGAGATCGGAGAGGAAGTTGATGATATCATCAGACTCGTCACTGTTGCAATTCTCGATACCATCCACTACTAGAAACAATCCCTCATCCTTAGATGTCACTCGGAAGAGAAGGTCGGTGATCCCCTCGAGTGTTGCCAGCTTTGATGTGACCTCATCCATGTCAAAACTCCAGAATGGATCGCCAAGGGGAATGTTTCTTAGTAGTTGGTAAGTAATACTTCCCAAGAAGCCCCTAAAACTCAAGGACTCCGGTTCCTTTGATACGCAGAAGAAATAAAGGCACGGTTGTCGTAAGTGAATATCCGCCACAATATTCGCCAATGTAACGGTTTTCCCACTGCCCATGCTGCCATTTAACCACAAAACGCACGAAGTATCTCGGCTACGCCAGGATAAGTATTCGTTCGTCTCGAAGATCCAGAAACATGATCCCTTCCGCCGCTGGCGTCGCCATAAGTTCTCGTAGCTTCCTTGATGAGGAGATAGCAATAGAAGGAGTCGATATTTCTGATCAAAGTTCTGCTTCTTTCTGGAGCTACCTGTTATGTGCCGTACGAGACTCAAATTTCTTTCGATAGAATTCTTTTCCGCTTTTAACATGAACTCGGTTGATAATATATTGGACTTCTGTTCGATTAGCTTACCCCATTGTCCCAATTCTTCTATCAACGGATTGAACTCGTTATCGGGCGAAGAAAGCATCGATGAGGCAAACTGAGCCAGAGCAGACTTTTTCGTGAAAACTACAATCTTCTGGCAAAGTCTAACGATGCCTATAAGATATTCCAACAGGAAGGACTGCAGTTCGTTGTCTTCAGAGAAGAGCTTCGCAAAATCGCTGTGGAGCGACCAAGCAGTACCGAGTTTCATGAAAATGGACGATATCTTATCGTAGTAGTCAAGGAAACAAATGGTAGACTAGATAGTTTAGAACCAGGTTAGAACTTCATCAAGGCGCCAGGTATATCATCCTTAATAAACAAAACAGATAATGCCGAGCTTACCTCAAGACAAATCCTCAAAGCACACCAAACACCGCATACAAGAATATTCTGCGAACCGCCCACCAATACATCTCCAATACTGGCAATTGATTGTATTCGACTCAAGAAATTCTTTAGTCTCGTCCCGAGTGGCCTCCAGGCTCGATGACGCTTAGCCCCTTCTCTGTTTAATTCCTCGGTAACTCTTATCACATCTGAAGTAGTTGGTACTACAGATGAACTGGACCGCATCCTAACGAATACTTTGCGACTTTCTTCGTCGAGTGCTGCTGTAAATTCAGACAGCGCGAGCCCTAGTCTAGCATCAGGCTTCAGCCTGCCGGCCAAAATCAAGGCTTTAGACATTGAAAAAACCTCGACGTAGAATCTAATACCACCTAAATAGAGCCTCAACGCGTATGGTGAAATAATATAGATAAAATTCACTCTAGTGATAGAGTTATACACGTACGTGTGTGTTCGCGAGAGGATAAATTCAATCCCACGCCTTTTGGGCTGAGCCAAATTCGTATGAGTGAAAAGGTATATCGTTGGAGAGGCTGGGGCGGGGCTATGCTTTCTCTTCTGATATCAGCATTGTCGCGGCCATCTATTGGATAGTTACCATCGATCGGAACGCCTATCTAGTCCGCCCAAGCAAAGCCCCTGAAAATAGAGGCTTGGCGGCGAAACCAGGAGGGAAAATGCCATAGAGACCAATTAGCGAAAGAACTCAAATAAATAATGGCAATTTCGACTCTCCATTTACGCTCTCTTCGGTATACTGAAATGCCTCGAGCTGTGGCCAGCCTTAGTCAATACTTATTCATTGAGTTCTCATCCGCTTAATTTTATTTGAGAAGAGATACTTACGTCGAATCGAGATATTTTAATTAATTTATCTTAGATGTCATGTGCGTCTTCAGTATCATCTCGCTTGCGGCTTAAAGCTTACTGATTGGAACTTAACGATAGAGAAGTAAAAATTAAACCAAGGTATAAAGACGAAGGGCGTTTGTAAGGGGCCCCCATAGAGCTGTAGGTATCTAGACTAGGTACCTAATAGTAGCTAATAATAACCAGCCTGTATGTTTCTTGGCAGTAAGGCGGCCATTAAATGCCGGAAACAAAGTAAATATTGATTTGTTTCCTCTCACTGATCCCCAAAACTTGTCATAAAGATCCTTATCTCTCGTCGTCTCAAAGTCATTTCATTCACAGACACTAGTAAGCCCAGACTCTCGTCTCCCCCCGTGCATCTTTCACCCCTTTCCTATTCATTCTCGAATAGTACAATCTTAAGCAAAGCGCTATTATCGCCACGAGAAAGTTACACGCTGCGCATACGAAATTCCCGGTAGGGTACCCCAGCTTTGCTTCGTCTACTTTCCATATCCACTGTGAGATAATCTGACCTATTCCAGCACATGAGTTATGTAGGGCGATTGCGAATGGGATCGTCAGCAAGCTCGGGGTGTTGCATGTTACCCAGTTCGTCATCGACGGCGCCGCCGGGAAGGCTCCAGCTGCTGCCATGCAGAGGCAGCCGTATCGTTTTACGTATGCAGTCGGCGGTAGCAATCCAGCTATGAGCCAACCTAAGCCGCCGATTATTGAAATCACGGTGATATGTAAGCCACGGGCTTCAAACCGATCAGCTGAGTAAGAAAGCGCGATGGCTACCGCGAACCCGACAACCCACTAAATTGGGATGAGATGTTAGCTTGAGAAACCTGCGTGTCCTATCTTTTCGACTATTTTATTCCGGATCCTAGTTGGGCTCGAAAGATGCCAAGATAACCAGTGCTGCTCTACTAATAGGAATACAGGTAGATAGCCATAATAAAAACTCCATCGAATTTTGAATCATACGAGGCAAGAATAGAAAGTACAATTTGAAAGATACATACTGGCGGGACTGTCATTAGCTGGGCATGAATACTCTGATATCCCAGGCCAGACACAATAGTTGGGGCGAAAAATGTAAATGAGCCTTGGGTCACTACGTTAGCCACATAGGCAAGGTAGTGAGCCAGCATCCGTGGGCTGAAAAACGTCTCCAAGATCTCCTTCCGCGTAGCATGCTCTCTATTCCACCCGCCGCCTCGATCTTTTAGGCGATCTTCCGCTAAGCTCTTCTCCTCCGCGCTGAGAAAATTGGCACGGGCTGGGTAGTCTGGTAGGAGCAGCAGTGTCGGCAGCACGCTTAAGATAGTAATAATGCCCTCAACTATGAAGAGCCACCGAAACCCCTCGAGTCCAGCTGCGCCATTTATCGTACCCATACCGTAGGCAATGGCTCCCCCGAATGCTCCAGCCAGGTTGCAAAAGGCGATGACAAAAGCTATCCTAACAGCTCGCTCATTATGTCGATACCAGATTGTTATAAGGTAAACAATACCGGGGAAGAAGCCGGCCTCGAACTATGTTAAATCAGCAACCAAGCTACATCAGTCTTAAGCTAATATCCGTCGTAAGACTATGTACTTACCACGCCGATGAGCAAGCGCGATGCTAAAACCGTGGCATAATTCCTAACAAAAGCAAACCCCAAAGTCAAAAGTCCCCAGCTACCCAACAGTATCGCTAGCCACCTAGAGGGGGCTACATAATGTTTCATAACCCAATTGGAGGGTACTTCGAAGAGGGTATATGCTACAGAAAACAAGGTTACCGTAAGAGCATATCCATTACTTGACATCCCTGTCTTGTGAAGAAGATCGTCTCCGGTCTCTTGATTCAATACTCTCGCATTACCTATGTTTCCCCTATCTAGGAAGTTGAGTAGATATAACCAACAACATATCGGAAGTATCCGGATGTCGAGGCGTCGGTTTAAGAGTTTGCTGCGGCTATGATCAAAGTCTCCATTATTGGTCTGTTGAAGAGACTTGTCGATTTTCCCCTACATAGTAGTCTCGATTTAGTTGGCGCTAATGAATATAAGCTTAACTTGACTAACCTGTTCGATATTGCCCTCGACGTATTGAGGAGCCTCGATTTTTTCCATCTTCTCCAGCTCAATATATGGTAGAGGGGCTACTCGTAGGAGGTTGGGACATATTGATGGACCCAATCTAGTTACACTACATCTTCTTTATAAAGGAATGCGATCAGCTATCACGCATCATACAATAAAGATCTCCTCTCACTACAGCGATAGAGATACATAGCCGATTTCTCCGCATTATCACTTGAACTCCCCATACTACCCCACAAAGCAGACACGATCTGCATCTTGACTATTGTAGGTGGGCGCGCTACTCGTTAACGCGGGGTAATTCCCTAGATTCCGGTTTATAATAGACCACACCTATAGACTGCGAGAACATATGCCGAAGTGACAGTTTCATTACCAAGCTCTTTTGGAAATCAATCATAATCCTAACTCGAGCTTATCGGAATTAGATTAAGTCAGGGGGTGAATAAAACGTGACATCAAGTACTTCGTAGATTTGCCAAGTGATTAAACTTATACAATAGGTTTACAACTCGTCATGAGAAAATAGGTTATAAACGGATATTCGATTATTATAATAGCGTTGAGTAATAGTTAGTTGATACATTGTTTATTAAAAAGCGAAGAAAGTTTAGCCAGTCCGAGAAATACTGACGTCTACATAGTTAGTGAAGATAAGAGAATCAGACCAACCGATAAGAACTTTTCCACTTTTTAATCGACCCAACATTTCGACTCATTTTCAAGTATTCCCATGTACAATTCCTAATATCCTAATCTTAATTCCGATCCTGATCTTCTCTGGTGGGATTCTATTCTTTGACCTACTATATACAAAGTATGAATGCTAAGCCCTTATGGTTACTACTTAGTGATATTCATTTCGGATCACGTGATCTTGATAGAGTCATACGAACTTCAAACTGGATTGCCTCCCTTCCCAAGTCTCATACAAATATTCGTCGCGCGATCATCTGCGGTGACCTACTCACGACACGTACTTCTCAGCCAACTCACGTCCTTTCAGCATGCTACCGCTTCTTAAACAAGCTGGTGGAGGCCGTGCCGCATGTCGATATCATCCTAGGCAATCATGACTTGGCCTACCGTTTAGATTACACCACTTCAGCCTTAGAGGCGCTTTCGATTAATCGACTAGCCCCCTTCGTAACTCTGCATACGAAAGTGGGATGTCACGAATGGGATGGCCGAAGGGTATTTGTGATGCCGTTCCGCGAAGACCAGAGCCAAATTGTCAAGGAGATACATAACTTAGACCCAAAGAGCGCCGCCCAGACGATTGGGTTCGGACACCTGGCCATAAACCGGGCTATAACACAGAAATACACCGTAAATTCGGAGACTGGAAAGCCTGGTTTCTCCGTCAGGTATCCCGGCCTTACTAGTGTAGGTGGATTCGCGCCGTTAGCGAGGACATTTACTGGCCACTTTCACAGCCACCAAACGATTCTCCAAGGTACGAGCGAAAAGAATCAGGATCTTCATGGAAGTATAACATATATTGGGGCACCGTTACAGCTTACGTGGGCGGATCTGTTCGACACCAAGAAAGGTGTCATTTTGCTTGACCCCGAGACTCTACAAAATGACCTTATCTGTAACCCACACGCGGTCGGTTATGTGTCGATGGATATCCAAGATATACTCTCGGGTCAGATGGACGAGGAACATATCCGTGATAAGCATGTCATGATTACAGGGAACTTATCAAGATACAAATACATTTCAGCTAGAGAAAGCCTGGTTCAATTAGGAGCGCGCAGCGTAAGAGATTGGAAACCTTTTGAGCCAGCGTGGCAATCCCAGAAATATGGTATTGGCAAGACTATGCTTCCTGTTGACATTCGAAACCTGCCGAATATAGGGAGCAATAAATTTTCAGGGGAAACGGGAGACATCAAATCTTCTGATTCCATTCATCGCTCGGACATTGATTCACCAAGACCGATAGTCGAGCAGATAGAGCGCGAGCCGATTGACCTTAGCGAAGTTACCGACGAATACGTATCTTCTCTAAGTCTTGGATCTGCTCTTGAGAGCAAGCGAGAGTTATTAGCTGCCGTAGGAAAGCGACTTGTAAACATTGGGAGCTCCGCTCGCGACAAGGTCAACGACACGATCAAGTATAGAGATGTTCTCAACTTATCCACATCCTTAGCTATTCCATCAAACGAATCTCCACGCATCTTCATTGCACACCCTATTGCTATCGAAATTACAAATTTCCTCGGCGTCCAGGGCACTCTTGAGCTTCAGTTTGAGCGTCACTTTCAACCTGGTATGAACTTCATAATCGGAAAAAATGGCGCGGGTAAGACGACGATAATCGAGGCAATCGTATGGTGTCAATTTGGGCAGTGTATCAGGGACGGGCTTGGGGTAAACGATGTGGTCAACGACGTCGTCGGGAAGAACTGCAACGTCCGTCTTACGTTTGCCAATGGGTATTCGATTTCGCGGTCCAGGAAGCATAGCGAATTTCAAAATCGCGTGATTGTGGAAAAGGACGGTATTGTACAACCTCAGTTTGAAGGACCTAGCTCCAGAAGTTCCCAGGCTTCTATCAATGGATTGTTAGGTGTAGACTTCGACACGTTTATCAGAACGATTCTTCTGGGCAACGAAAGCACACGTAGCTTCTTAAGCGCCTCGCAACTACAGAAGAGACAGCTGATTGAAGCCGCTTTAGGTTTAGGGATTCTAGATGGGTGTGCAGAAACTTGCAATTTAATGATGAGCCAGGTAGATGAGGAGCTAGGCGTAAAGAAGTCGCGGCTCAATGAGGTTACTCATACAATCACGCACCTCAAAGGTCGGGTTTCCCAAATGGTTAAAACGCTGAAACGTTTATTTGGCGAGGCAGAGAATATCATTGACCAGCTGCAACGCGAAGACCAAAAATACTTTGTATCTCTGAACGAGAAAGATCTCAGGATAAAGCAGCTTAGGGAGGAACTTGGGAGTGAGCAATTGCCAAATCTAGAGCCTGAGCTTTCAGAGCTCCGAAAAGGCGTTTCGAGAGCACACGGCGAAGTAGGAAAACTTGGTGCATTAGCAAAACTTGCGCAGGCTCGTTTATCAATAGATCGTAAGGGGACAGCTATCAAGCAGGAGATGGTAGCTACTAGTACGCAACTAGGTGATTTCGAAAAAACAGTCGAACGTCTACTGGGAGAGAACGAAATATTGGAGATTCCACCTCCATCCGCCAACGAGAACGATGGCAAAGCGGAGCGTAGCAGGCAAGGGTTTCTGCCGAGTATCATGCTCATATTTCGGGATGTCTGGATATCTGTGCTTAGATTTATTAACTTACGAGATACTCCTAACATCATGAAAATAGAGCAGCGATGGCAGAACCACCTGAGGGCAATCGTTGCCTTCGACGACACCATCAGGGAAGTACAACCCAAAATTGCGACTATGACGGAGGTTATATCAAATTTCTCCAAAGATATTTCCCGACGAGATATTATGAGCATAACGGTACGACAAGCATTGCACATTCCCACTCAGCTAGGTGCCGCCATTGATGAGTTACAACATGCGACAAGCCAATACGATCGTCTCCAACAGCAATATGAGAGCCAAAGGCAGAAGCGACTTCGCAAACAGCAGGATCTAGAGGGACGAGAAAGGGACATTGATACGACGAGACAAAAATGGCAAGTGTCGTTAGATCGGTACCACCTAATGCTCTCCAGCAAGGAAAAAGAAATTACTACCTATAAAGAACACCTCCAATCGGATGCCGAATCCCTTTTTGACCTCGTCCGCCAAGCAGCCGGTCTAAGGAAAGAGGCTGCAGAAATACACTCGCACAGGGAAATATTCGCCTTTTGGCAATCTGCTTTTACGCGACGGCAGGTAGCAAAGGCTACGTTTCGGCATCACGTCACCGAGCGACATCTAGGGGAGCTAAACAAACTTCTAGGACAGATTCTGCTAGTAATGTATCAGGATGCAAACTACGCGCGCAATATGACTTCTGGCACCATCGGAGCACTCTTCAAAGAAGAGTACCAGGATGGCGACAACCGCGATGTTAATCAGGAGTCTACATCAGTGCTTGAACCGTCTCTATCGATGAATCAGGCACTTGATTACGCAAAGCGAAGTGGTGGCGAACGTAAACGCGTAGATCTAGCGTTATTCTTCGCGCTATCTATGATGGCGGGGGCCAGAAGTCCCCATATGGCGAGGTACATGCTTGTTGACGAAGCCTTTGACTCCTTAGACGTAAGCGGCCAAGCTTCCGTGCTTAAATGGTGCCGCTGGATGGCGGAGCGGCTATCGTACGTCTTAGTTATTACGCATAGCCCAAACCTCGTCAAGCTCGCCGAGGAGGAAAGCGATGCTGGCGGTGGTGCAGGGGCAAATATTATTACCATTAGGGCTGGTAATAAAGGCACCGAGTTGATGGAAATGCCAGAGTCTATAGCTACTTCGCCTACTTAACCAAATCTAAGTTGCTAGCCTATAATACAAATCCCCATTCTTAAACTTTGAAGCTTATAGTGGCAGAGATCAGAGAGCTTTATGATATGAAGTCTTATTCTCAAATTGGGCTCGTGACTACTGGTAGTACTTGGAGGCTGGATGAAACTAACAGGCAGATCTTCCTTAGCAGGTGACAAGTTCAAAGACATATTCCAAGTCAATCATGTAAAATTTTTGTTCTAGAATCTGCCATCTGTAATCTAATGACCTATGGCTCGGCCACTTACACCACCAAATCAGCGAAAGGGAGTCAAGACACGACAGCTACAACTAACCCCCTGTCCAAATTCCGCAAGCCAGTCTCCAGACCCCGATACCGAGAAAACTGCTCATGCTTGGTCCGGGACGTGCAGTTTGACAAGTTAGAGAATGGAACGATAAACGCAACCCGGTTTTTTGGGATGGCACCTAAGCGGAAGGTCGAGATGCTGCAAGAAAAAGCTTGTTTGGCTCGACGGAGCTTCTCGACGACGCCATTGGTGGGTATCAGGGCGGCGCGGTGGTATTCGAAATGGGAACGGAATCAATCTCCAGATTACCATATTGGGCGGCTCGGCCTTGGCGCAGGTTACAACATTACCTCATTCTATGCAGGGGTTTCAGCTGTTATTCGGGGCAAGCTAGGGAAGTCGGTCTACCAAGTCCGGGAGGGGGATCACATGGGACGGCCAGAATGAGCGTTGCGGAAAGACACGATGTGCAGCCCGAGACTATTAGTTTTCTGCTGTTAAGTACTTAGGTAGGGTGTTAAGCGGTGGGCTGGTTTGCATGCCACGTCGATATAAATCGAGGGACGAAGTAGGGAGGCTGTTATTATTTATAAGACGTAATCCCCACGATCTGCAAACAGCCTATCCTCAGCCTCAAATTGCGTGATAGAGATCTACATACGTCCTACGGCTAAACGCTAAGTTTACAATGAGATCGACACTATTAGCTACCGTAGCTGTCTTGGGCGCTACACACGTCGCCGGTCATGCCACCTTCCAGGACCTCTGGGTAAACGGCGTCGATATGATAAGTATACCCTTTTACCGAGTTTCGCCAGTTATTAACATGTCTCGCACGGGGGCTCATGTGCTAGGTTGCCGCTGTCTAACTCTCCTGTGACGGATGTATCATCGAAGGATATCGCTTGCAACGCCGGTACTAAGCCTGTATCCGGAAAATGTAGTATCGCCGCAGGATCGACAGTGACGGTAGAGATTCATCAGGTAGATATATCTTCACATTTCGTACGCTCTATTGTATGTTGGCTAATACGTCTGGTTAGCAACCCGGAGACCGTACTTGCGCTGCGGAAGCAATCGGTGGCGCCCACTACGGACCAGTTCAAGTATACATGGCCTCTGTAACTGATGCCTCGACGGCCGACGGGTCCTCCTCTTCATGGTTCAAGGTCTTCGCCGACACGTGGGCTAAGAACCCGTCAGGGGCAAGCGCTGATGACGATTGGTGGGGAACCAAAGACATCAACGAGTGTTGCGGTCGGATGGATGTGAAAATCCCATCCGATATAGCTGCTGGCGACTACCTTCTGCGGGCCGAAGCCTTGGCTCTACATACAGCAGGTCAAAGTGGCGGCGCGCAGTTTTATATGACATGCTTCCAGCTGACCATCACGGGCGGTGGTAGCGCCAAGCCCGCAGGTGTCTCGCTACCCGGTGCCTACAAGGCAAGCGATCCTGGTATTCTCGTCAATATCCACGGAAAGTTGGATTCGTATGTTGCGCCCGGCCCAGCGGTCTACGCAGGTGGCTCAACAAAGAGCGCAGGCTCTTCATGCTCCGGCTGCGCGAGCACATGTGCCGCCGGAAAGGGTCCGTCGAGTACCGCTGGAGGTAATGGAGGTAGTGCTCCTACCGCGAGTGCGACAAACACGGCCGCTCCACCAGCAAACACGGGCGACTCCGGGTCGGGATGCGGTGTGTCTTTATATGGTCAATGCGGAGGAAGCGGATTCACTGGCTGTACCAACTGCAATGTAAGTCAGGGCTCTCCCCGCTAAACTTCTCTACTATCAAACATAACTGACTGCTGTCCAGAGCGGAAAATGCCAAAAGCTCAACGATTACTATTCACAGTGTAGCTGATCTAAGAGAGAAAGAAATCAGCGAGCATGCTTTGACGAGAAGGCATGCTACGGCGAATTGAATTGACATCGAGTAAACGTATTGCTGAGTTGTATTAGAATTTAGCGTTAAAAATATTCATGTATATAATATAATGTGGCCGTACTCGCCGGAGCTCGTATGGTGTATCGGCTCGTGAACTATCGCCATTAATATTCGTCACAACTCTTGTCCGCACACAATATTGATCGCAATCTTTCACTCTCTTGGGTATCACATCTGAATAGCGAGTATAGGGCGACAAGTAAGGCACGGGCAAATTGAGATGCGCACAAGGCGGACAAACCCACGCTCTATATCTAAAAGTTCGAAAAATCACGTCGGAGGGCCGGAGTAGTTCTTACGGCCCCAGGCGACATACCATCCAGCCGAAATTGCCGTAAACCCTACAAAGACCACCGAAGCGTAATTCATAAGAGAGGGATCCAACACCGGAACCGTAGTTGGCATACAGAATAATGGAATGGCCAATAGAGACCAGCCTATGCTTTCATTAGCCCATGAGACAATAGCCGACGCGAACCTCGGCACGATCGAGCAGACGACACTTACATAAAGAAACGATATTGCAAAACCATCCGATTGGACCTAGGTAGAAGCTGCCGGTGCGGACGGTCTGGCGTCCATTGAGCATACTGACGATGATTGGTGTAGCATAAGACGCCGTCAGCGCAATAACTCCGACGCCCGAGAAAGCATTGAAAGCAGCCGATGATCCGAAGTAAATGAGGCCGAGGATGATTTGAACAGCCATGCTGAGCATCATCGCGTTCAAGGGAACATCGTCGAGGTTATGGTTGATTTGCTTCCACCACTTTGAGCCGGGAATGGCGCCGTCGCGAGCAAATGCGTAGACGCAGCGCGATGCCGCAGTTGTGCAGCCGATGCCGCATATGAGCGCCAAAACGAGAAGAGGGATTAGCAGACCGAATGCGCCCCCTGAGTTTCCAACAGCGCTCTTGATAATCACCGGGACGGGTTGGGCGAGCACAACGAGTCCTTGAATATCGGGAAGAACGAACACTAACGGAATCATAAACATCAACCCAGCTACGGTGTTGATGCATACCGTCAATACCATTGCCTTGGGTACCTGCGTAGCCGGCGCTCGGACCTCTTCGCACATGCTATAGTCTTGTAAGCATGATGAAGTAAGAGAGATGAATTTCAAACAGGTACTTACGAGATGATCATGCCGGTAGAAGAAGTAGCATAGGCGGCATGTAAGAGACCGACGACGAAAGACCAACCGGGTGTCCAGCCAGAGTTAGCCTCGAAATGCGTGAATACCCAACTGGCATCGTGGCGACCTTCCTTAGCAATAGCCAAGACGCATGCCATGATAGCAATAACACCGGCAAAGGTCCAGAAAATTGCAAAGGTCTAAAAATCAAATGTCAATATTAGCCAAGCGTCAATGACAGGAGAAAGGAATAGAAATCCGTACATCGAGAATGGGCAGCCATTTATTGCCTAGAGACGAAACGGCATTGCAAAGTAGCGTAATGGCTAGGAAGATGAGGAAGACTTGATAGGATTCGCCGGCGAGCAGATCTTGACCATCCGCAGTCTCAAACACATTGACGCATCCGATCAAAAATAACGTCGTGCCGAAGTTGACGGCCAAGGTAATGGTAACATTTCCGACCACGTAAAGCCAACCACAGGTCCAAGCAGCAATGCGACGCCAGCGAGGAGGTGCAAGCATGAAAGTCTGGTAATAGACACCGCCAGCAGTTGGATATACGCTCGTAATTTCTCCGAGAGATGCGGCAACACAAATAATAATCATCGACACAGCAACCCATCCCCAGATGATATTGACCGGTCCGCCTCCGACCAGAGGGTAATAGAGGGTCGTAGCTAAACCGTACGGAATCGATGCCAGGACGAAAGACATGAAAGCGACCTGTAGGGTGGACCGATTCCGCGACAGCTCGGGAGTGTAACCGAGGGACACGAGCATTTGGTCGGCCGATCCCGCATCGGCTTCGCTAGGCAAGTCACGGACCGCATCGCCGGCGGTACTGACCGGCTTTTTCATGTCGCTATCTGCCATCATCTAATACTTCGACTTGAGCACGCGATCGGGTAAACGAGTGGCGCTTAATAAATACCACGGCGGTTATAAAGAGTATTAAGGAATATATGCTAACTAAGTCTCCATCTATATACTAACGTCCATGCGATAATGGTAATGTCGGTTGGTATTTTTCTTTTGAGCTGTAGAATAGATTTGAACGAAGAATAGAATGACAATAAAATAAAGAGAAAAGAACAGGAACAAGTCTCAAAAAAAGATCACGGCTGAGTACTTGGGTACGCCGGTAAAGAAAGAGAAAAATTATGCGGACTGACATCACACCTGAAAGTTGCCTGCGCTTCAGCAGCTTAGATTACTTAGGCTGGGCTTTCTAATTAATCCCTGCAAGTCCTTAGATAACATATCTTTTACCTGCCCTCTCCTGGTTAGCGTCCCACGCGACTGACGGGGCCTCCGCGTTTCTTATGTACATCCCTGTGGTTTGTGTTACTTCAGATAAGAGATCTTGAATTATACGCGTAGGTATATTACCAGATAGATTTACAAGAATCAATCCGAAAAAACTCCGGATAGATATGGTCTACTAACCTAGTAACTACCCAGAAGCGCTCAAATCAAAAACTGAGAATGCCGAGATAACTGATAATAATGCTTAAGCTCAAAAATAATTATTTTAGCGGTCCACAATTGTAATAGTTCGAAACAGTTTGCCAATCCGTTCTGGGAAATCTCGGTCTGAATGATCTACGCGTACCAAATGACCGGCCCGTCTTAAACGGCTTTTTAACCAATCATATACATGTATTACATATGTTCCCGCATTAAACCCCGATGATACCGGGGCCGATGCCGTTAAGTCCCGCTTTTCTCGGCCTTAGATCCATATAGATATATATTTGCAACCGTTTAGAAGTTTTAAGTTAGTGTAATTGTTAGTGCCAAATTAATACTATCATCCGCATTGGTGGCAATAGTATTTCGTATCTCTATATTAGGTAGCAGTTCTACGTGGACGCTAAATGCGCTTAGCAACTTTACCTTTACGAAACTCGGTCACGACAAATGTAACCGATACCTAACGCAAGGGCACTCTTATAAGGGAAATTTCAAGCCGAGGTTTACAAAGATATATAAACTCGTTTAACTATATCTAATCCTGTAAATTAAGGGCAATTAAAAACTCACAAGTGGAGTTGATCGCTTTCAATTATTGCCCACACTTGTGATCACAGATATGGAAACGTAGATAGCTACGGTATATCTAGAGTCTCAGCTTGGGCTGTCTGCTTATCAATAAAGTTTACGCATTTTACGCATCATACTGTTTAAAGACCTTATCTATCTCCTTCATTCTCACAACAGCATCATGTAACCGAGGCCAATCCATCTCCGAGAGATCACCGGTAGGCCTTCCATTATACCACCAACGCGCATACCTTTCGTACAATTCCGCCACGATCCTAGAACGATATGGGAGTTCCTTTTGCCAGTCTTCCCAGTCCCACTCTACATCAATCACCTCGTCCGAAGCATGATCGTGGATCTTGATCTTGATAGGCTCTCTATAAGAATCAGAGTGTACGTATGCGCCATTCGCGGTCACCATAATCTCGCCTACTTCGCCGTTAATCGTCCATAAGAATCCTGGAGTTCCCTTGAATTGCTGTCCGCTCCTGTACGTAATAGATAATGTAGCATCCTCCGCAATGTCTGCCTTGCCCTTAGCTAGCTTCCCATGAACAACCAAAAAATCAGGTACGTCGCTTTCTATCTTCTTGATCTGAGTCCCATCCTTACCCAGAACCGCGACGACTGGTCGCTGTATCTGCATTCGACTTTTAAACGAGGAAAACTCCCCGAGAACTTCGTGGACGTAGTCGATAGTATGCCCGTAAGCAATAGTGATGGGATTGCCCCCAATATTCCTGTTTGCGAAATACGAAAGGCCTTCCGGTAGCGAATCCCTAGGTAAGAGATTACCGTAGGCACGAATGTCGCTACTCAATACTCGGCCTATTCGACCCGACTTGAGGATCTCTTTAAGTTTGAGGACTATAGGCGAAACGCGCCCCTGAAGCCCAATGATGCTATTATCTAGACGTTTGTTAGCCGTCAAAGCAACGGCTTCCTCGCAATTCTCTACGAGGGGCCACTCTATATAGACAGCTTTTCCGGCTCGCAACGATGGCTCTGCCGTCAAGCTATGAGTATCGACTCGGGTGCAACAGACGACAAAGTCGACATCCGGATCTAAGGCCAAGTCATTTGGGTCGCCATAAGTCCTCACATCCGAAGGAAGCAAAAAGTGCTTTCTCGCAGCTTCTGCAGACTCAACGCTCGAGTTAAGGAGTGCAACAATCTCATAGTGACATTTGCCTCGAGGTGATAAAAGATACGGCAAGTGACCCTGGGCGGCCCAGGAGGTCTTTGCAGACGAGGAGAGACCGATGAGTGCAACACGGATAGGTGCCATATTGAAGCGAGTATAATGTTGTAGATGTTTGTGTAATAATTCCTTTGCAGTGCCGTATAGAGAGAAACCTACGTGGGAAGACTCCTTTTATATCCAGGTCTACTGTCCCTACATTTTAGAAATCATCAGTTAAAGAAGATGATGACTTACCAATACATACAGTGTCTTAATATAACTTTATACGGTATAGTTCATAGCATAGCAGGTAGCAGAACACAGTACGGGCTAGAATAGGTGACATACGACCGTCCCGCTTATTTCCATTCTAGGGAAATGGTCTCGATATTCATCACGCGCCTTACGTAGCATCAGCATCTCCCCAATATATTCACACATCTTGTCCCGAGAAGAATACTAATAATGGTAACCTTCACCCACAAACTCGCATAGCTCAGAAGAAACGTAAACACAAAAAAAGCGCTCCCATAAATAAAGTATTCCCATCTACAACTCCAATAACGACGTGCTACAGGAGAATGCTTCTAGCAGTCTCTTCCCCATCCCAAATGCCGGTTCACCTCGTCCATAGCGCTGATGCCGGCCCTGAACAGACCTACTGCCCCGTCGACCGTCGAGCTTCCGGACTCGAAGGTCGGCTGAGGCTCTTCTGCTCGCCTCAGATCCGTCTGATCCAGCAGCGCCTGACGTTTCCGTAACACTGCGCTGGAAATAGCTCGCCCCCACATGTTAAACCATTGATCTTCGCTAATACTCACGTACTGCTTGGTGCCGTCATCGGCTATCCTCGAGAACGGCCACTCCGAGACAACAACTTCCCATCTCTTAGTCCGCAACCACAAGTACGGCCAGGAAAAGATAAATAGGAGAGTGAACGTGAACAGCATTTGTATCCACGTCGTCAGGCGCCACTTGTTTATCCTTGCTTCGTTGTAGCACTCGATCAGGGAGTCCTTCGTAACGAGTTCCACCTTAAGGTGGCCGCGGTAATTCGTACCGTTTACCAGCTCTCTCAGCTTCGTCTTAATATATTCCTCGTCAAAGCCGATCATCCTTCGCTGGAGTGCGAAGACCTTCAAGCCTGCATGGCTGGCAGAGTACCGATGACACCACTCCTGCAGCGTCGGTTTCGGGATACCACCGACCTCGATACTCTGATTCGAACCGGGGGCGCGCTTCCTAAGTATAGTGCCACGACGGGTCTTCTCGCCGTTCTCCACGGTCCGAATATAATTCCACGAACGACGATACTGCGCATCCGAGTAGAGGTATGGTGTTAGCTCGACAGAAACGTCAAAGTCTGTGATCGTATTCTTCTCCATCTTGCCCTTGCTGTCTCTCGTAGTCTCGGTATGTGTTCCGACAAGTTTGATATAAGGTCGCGGAGGAATTGCGGCGAGATGTCGAATATGCTTCTCGAGATCAGCCGGGTTTTCAAGGCTCCTAGCCATCCAGTACTGGGCACCAGTGTTCAAGTCGTTGAACCGCATAGCGTCTTCGACGAACGGCGCTTGGGCTATAGCTAAGCCGCCGGCCGGAACAGCTGTTTGCGCATCGGGCGGTGGGAGCAACGACTCGCTTTCGGTATAATTGGGCGGTAGGTCATCAATAGCAATCTCGGGGATATCGAGATCATCATTATCGCTGTAGGTCACCCTAGAACTTTCGCCGGGGTTGGTACGTAGCGAGACGGCATCGTCCGCCACCTTGTCATCCGGTTTGCCCATGGTTCACGAGATTGATGTAAGAGATCTGATTAATGGGTAACTTCTGACTTGGGAAGATGCGACCATAAAGGTTTATTTTATACCTGAATCCTAGAGGAAAAGGAAAAGGAAAAGTGCGATTAGGCAGCAGAAGAGGAAATTGAGGATTGACAGCTGAGGCTGAATTACGCTAGAGAAGTACGAAGTACCTAAAGAAAACCCCTGATGTTTGACCTAATACTCCTGCCCTATTAGGAACCATTTAGGAGGGCATGCGGGTAGGCGGGGCAGCATGGGGCAATCGGCTCTACTGACCACCACGAGTTTACTTAAAATAGCAATCAACGATTTACAACATCATGAAAGTACTACAGCATTAAAATTATCTAGGTATGTTAAGTACCTAACGTATAATTAAGGTATAATTAGGTATATGATTATAACCTATTAACAGATAATTTCAATACATTCGTACCATCACACGACACTAACAAGAAAATATCATTTTAGCAATGCACGACTTATACGATAACACAATAGCTGGATAGCTACAATACCCCAATGATCTTGTACATAAACAAGCATTGATATTATACAATCGATATTGTGTATATACCATCAGTGTTATTAATATAGTATATAATCGTCTTTATTTTCTCTATGGCCAGCAGCATTTCTTTAGCCAGCTCACAACACCTTACAAGACTCTACAACACCTTGCAACACTTCACAGTCTTTATCATATTCTACAGCCATAACCCCACCTCATCTCATCATGTTCACCACGATGTTAGATCAAGCGCAGTCCCCGTTCTTCTCTCTTCCGGGCGAGCTCCGCAATATAATCTATGAGTATTACCGTATCAATACACCAACAAGTTATGAGTACAATGGTGTCCTCCGTCCTCGGGACGTTGCCTCAGCACTCTCTGACCCACATGGTCTTCCCAAGACCTGTAAGCGAGCATACAGTGAAGCTCATGAACTTCTCAGCGCTTCCCACGCAGAAATCACTGCCATTACGTACCCTGATTTCCGTCCTGGCTCTGTCCGTATTTCATGCGACGGTATTTTTCAGCCTTCTCAGCTTCGCTCCCTCGATGTCACCTACATTTATGATATTAGACCTTCTTGTGACAATCTATTCTTTTGCCTCATGTGGTTTGCCCAAGTGGCTCCTAATATCCGTCGATTAAAGATTACAGTCGACCACGGCACCCTAGTCTTTCCTCGCCCTGGATGGACAGCACGAGGATGCATCCTAACAACCTTCAACAGGATCGTCCCGCAAGTCACAGATTTTAGCCAACTCGAATCCGTTGAATTGTACAGCCGCCTTGATGTCGATATGGCCAAACTCTTAAATCTCCAACTTACTCGCGCGTCTATGAACGAGCAAGTGAAATTGTATAGAGTTGTAGCACGCGAACCCACTGAGCCAGTCAGAACGTACGAATCTATTCCGGTGGAGGCTGCGGATCTAGAGCTAGCACCAAATGATGAGAGCTTTTACAACTCATTAGACTCCGACCAGTATATAATAAGCTTAGCCGAAGCTGAGGAGATAATGGACGTTTGGTTCTCGAACGATCCAGACCATTAAAGCACTGGGCTTATCAGAATTGAAGAGTCTATGGCAGACAAAGAAAATCAGAACACTTGAAAGCTCTCGATATTAGCAATAACACATACGCTTTGGAAAAATAGAAACAACCGATTCCAAGCGAATTGAAATGTGTTTGACATTGAATAGTAAGATAGTCAGTAGATAGTTAATAACATAGCATACATACCCAAAGTAGCTTTGCTAGTCCGAAGAGAATAACCCAATATCTAGACCGATGATATTAAACATTTCATGTGATTAAGCAAATTTCTTATGTGTTAATGAAGTTCCGATTCGATTAAAAGGTATCTAGAAAGAGACATAAAAAGAAAAAGAAATACACTTACGGCAAGGGTGAAGTGTTTACAAGCGCGTGACAAGCCCTACGTGGGACTCGAACCCACAGCCTCTGAATATCTAATAGAAGTTCAGTGCTCTACCATTGAGCTAGCAGGGCACGGTTAATAATCGTGTTCTCTAGATTCAATCTAGAAATCGACTTGTGGGCTTTCGGAAGCCGAAGAATTCTATCCCTTAGACATAGCTATCGTTTTTCTAAGTTAAAAGAAAAAGAAAAACCCTGATAGCACTAACGGCGACATGGACCGTGCCCCTAGGGTTAAGTGGGATGATTCTAAAAATTTATTGGTCCACCATATTATCCAATACCAAGCGGTACTAGGGCAGAGTAAAAAAAAGAACAAACAATTAAGCAACAAATAAATCAGAAAGAAATATAAAAAGGTGAAAATGACAAGAGTGGGACTTGAACCCACGCGGATTTCTCCATGAGGATACGATATTAAGGTGACCTTAACCTCACGCCATAACCAACTCGGCCATCTTGCCGTGGACATTTGTGCTTTTAGTATGAAACTTAAGGGACAAAATTTGTTTGAGGTTCTGATTGGACGAAAGATTCAAATGGATTCATAGTCAATCATTGGTCAATTCATTATTATACCTGGTGGGGAGGAAATGGAAAGAAAAAAAAAGTGTTGAATAACTTGAGGGTCAAATGATCAAGAGTTTTAAATATTAAAAGTACTCAAAAAGAAAAATAAGAATTGCCCATCACAGGAGTCGAACCTGTTGCCTCCTCATTACCGCGTATTGTTCCTATGAAGATGTAACTCCTTAAGAGTTTAGCTGCTTGGAAGTAATACTAGTGAGGCGCTCTACCGGTGAGCTAGACGGGCATATTATGAAGTTGGTCCACTTGCTAAAACGAGCTAGGATTTCTAGCTGCTGTTGATGAAGATTTATTTGCTACAACCCAATATTAACCCTTTATGAATTTGAATTGGCATGACAAATAGTGTCTAAGTAGGTATCTAAGATATAAAAATACCTGTATTGCCTTTATATCCATCCCCCTCGGGGAATATTATATATACATACAAGCCTATACTATACAGACTTGCGTTGTGTATACAATGTTATACTCCCGGCAGTCATATCATGTTGAAATCTATCTGTGCGTTGAACCGGATTCGTTACCCTTAAATCAACCCTGCCCTTAGCTACGAACTGATAAAGCGGCTCTTGCAATATTACTCTAGATTACATGGGAATAGTAATGATTTTATCGTCAGAAAAGATGTTTTTAATTAGTCAAGTCGTGCCTCCGCAATATAAATGGACTGATCACGCTTATAATTCCCACTCTTTACCGTCCAAACTGTTGCAACAAGTAGACATCTCTCTTTACATCTCAACCATCTTGGTTCTAGCAAGGCACTATATGATTTCAAATTGCCGCCCTTTACTACCCAGTGTAACGTAGTCATATGTATTGACGTCGTTTAAGGATAGTATAATAACTAACATTGGCAATGTGACTTTGGTTCAATACCGAACTTTCTCCTAGATGAATGCATAGTCTATACGCAACTAGACAAGAGGAGACCTAGGCCTTTGGTTACTAGACGGGATTCGTGTAGCCAGTAGCAAACAAATATGATATATCACCGGGGATAAGGTCTAGAGCCCAGTGCAACATGTCTTTGACCCTGCTCCATGGGTGGGCATCGGATTAAAGCGAAGTGTAACGGCAGTTGCATAGCCTCCAAGATATTATGTCACCGTACAGTCCTCTACATGGTCGTTATAATCCCGAGTCTCAGTTGCACACCATCCTACGTGGATGTAGCATGGATGTACGCCCTATTATTTAGGAAGTTACCTAGCTTGTCAATGGAGGAAATAGTTTGACAGGTATCATTACAAACCGACAGTGTAGCTATCATGCATACATGTCTCGCATAGGTTCGAGACGCCGATAGATCTATCACCGCCACTGTGATACGGTCGTGGCCGGATATCTAGCTGGGCGTGGGGGCTTATTCTTAATACTATACCGATTGATTATCTAGGTAGGTAACTTAATATGTAGACCACTTTCTTATTCATATCGTAGGGCGAACTATATGCATCGTTTATACTGGGCTATATCCTGCATATTTCATAGTAACACTTTAGCATTGTCCAATAACATCAATATGCCCATATAACCGTAAGAGCTTTATGAGAATGAGGCTATCAACTCTATGAGAGCACAACTCTGAGGGCGTAATTTGTGAGAGGTATCCACCGCCATAACCTTGTATCTTACGAAGTAGGCGATGTAAGGGCTCTCGTGGGAAGAAGAACTGTTATGTATCCTCCATAAGATGACCGCGTTGGTTCATCACGATGACGATCTGTAATTATAGGTAACAGGGCAGAGTCAAATATATCCGGACTATCATTTCTTTCATAGGCTCGCCGTATAGTTCCGGCTTGAGTGTTCAAGGCGTGCGTAACAATAACCAGGGCTCGATATTGGCTCTCGAGCTTAAGTGGTGGAGGGCATGATGTTCGAATTGGCCAGAAAGGAAAATCACGGGTTATTTGTTGCAGCGTGAGATGTGATTTTCTCCAATTTCCCCTCGCCGAGTGCATCAGTCGAATGTAACAAGAGAAGAGTTCCGCATCTAAAGTAATACAGGAAGGATCGTCCAGTGATAAGTTTCATCGGCAGTTCGACGTCGTGGTAGCTGAAGTGCTTAACTATTTGCCAACCGGTTGAATTTGCCTTGATCAATGTCCAAGTAGCCTCTCGGCTCGCCCGGCATAAGACACAGGAATAGAAATATTGGAGATTTAACCCCAGATTGACCTGCTGAGCTCGTCACTGTTGGAGGATTGTCATAACTCGGGGGCTAATAGGAAGTCCTAGCCAAGCTAAGGTCAAGAGTCCGCCAACCCTATAAACGCGTACTATGTTGGTCAGCCACAACATCAACGTAGAGCGCTAAGGTACGGCAGGGTGACTATTGGTGCAAGCTACTCATGCAATGTGCTCCCTTCGGATAGACCCAACAAAGTAAAACGAACTATAATCTTGAAAACTGCGGGGAAGCATGGGGTGCATACAGATTGTCGGGTATTTGACCTCACGGTAGCTTTCACCCCGCATTATACGTTCGTCTTGCATACGAGCTGCATCTACTAGTGGCCAATGAATATGCAGATATATGCAAAATTGCCTAGTAGAGCTAGGAGGCAGGGATAGGACGACCACAAGGCTGTGAAGACCAACTCTCCGAGCCTCACCGAGGACCCGCTGGCTGCTAGTTGGCGGCATCATGTCTTGCCTTTCCTTATATGTCGATTTAGACATCTATCACCATATACGAGTTGGAGAGGTGACGTGGGTAGTTCAAACTAGAAACCCGATACAAGGTATCTTGGAGGCCTAGAGAGTGATGAGAACCAGGTTGGTTCGTGTTTGGATGAATGTGACCCTTCCTGCGCTGCCGGCGAGTTCTCTCTTGGGATTTTATTCCCCTTCCATCCGACCAGCTTCTCCTTATGATTGGGACCCATGCATAGATGTTACATCACAAAATATCAGATGACCTCTGCGAGGCATAAGTTGGCAAACATGTTGAATAGTTGCCGGGAAATGGGGGGTTGTTGGAGGATATAGCTAGTAATCAAGCTTGGACGCATGGCCTAGACAGTAAGAAGGGGAACTATTGGCAACTTCGTAAGAGTTATTCAAGTGCAGGGGTTCCCCCTCTTCTAACGGATATTTGGATCCTGCTCGCCCAGCTTTCGAGAAAGCATAAGAACGACACAATCGTCACCCTTCAGCGAATTTTTCCAACATGTTCTCCAAGATTTTCGGCTGGGATCAAAAACAACAAGAAGCAGACATGAGTCCCTTACCTGAGGAATTCGATATTATCGTTTGCGGTGGTGGGAGTTGTGGATGTGTAGTGGCTGGTCGGTAGGTTCTTCTAGAGATCTATCCGCAAGGGCTTTACTTATATACTCATTCCGTATAGTCTGGCAAATCTGGATCATAATCTTAAAGTCCTTTTAATCGAGGCCGGAGAGAGTAACCTTAACAACCCATGGATCTTCAGGCCAGGGGTCTACCCCCGGAATATGAAGTTGGACTCGAAAACGGCATCCTTCTATGAGTCTCGCCCATCTAAGTGGCTCTCCGGCAGAAAAGCTGTAGTTCCGTGCGCCCACGTTTTGGGAGGAGGTTCCAGCATCAACTTCTTGGTATGTGAAAGACCCTAAGTGAAAATAGCTTAGCACTAACCCTTTATAGATGTACACACGCGCTTCCGCTAGTGACTATGATGACTTCCAGGCCAAAGGGTGGACTACTAAGGAACTGCTTCCACTCATGAAGAAACACGAGACTTATCAGCGAGCTTGCCATAACAAGTAAGCAAAAGAAAGTTGAAAGCATCTAGAGATACTAATAGCCAAAGGGACCTCCATGGATTCGAAGGACCGATCAAGGTTTCATTCGGCAATTAGTAAGTTAACAGTCGTAGCCCGAGTTGAAATACCCAAGAAACTAACTGTCATAAGCACTTATCCAGTAAAGGAGGACTTCCTTAGGGCAGCAGAATCCCAAGGTATCCCCGTCGTCGATGATTTACAAGATTTAAGTACCGGCCACGGCGCAGAACACTGGCTAAAGTGGATTAATCGCGACGTACGATCCCTTACCCCTATTCATCTCTGTTTCATGACTGACCATTCGTGGATATAGACCGGCCGACGTAGCGACAGTGCCCACGCATACGTTCATTCGACTCGCGCCGTTCATGACAATCTCTATCTAGCTTGCAATACCAAGGTAGATAAGATTATCATCGAGAATGGAAGGGCTGTAGCTGTTCAGACAGTGTAAGGCTAATCGAACATTGAGTTATATGCAGACCGTTAACTTGTATTAAAGGCCAACCAAGCCGCTTCACCCCAATCAACTAAAGACTCGCACCTTTAGAGCCCGAAAACAGATCGTCGTATCCGGAGGCACGCTTTCTTCCCCGCTAATCCTCCAACGATCCGGCATCGGTATGCTTCTGTAGTTAGATTGCGAGCCTACAAGTGCTAACAATTCCTAGGCGACCCCGAAAAGCTAAAGAAAGCTGGAGTTGAGCCTATTGTCAACCTTCCCGGTGTAGGCCTCAACTTCCAAGATCACTATCTGACTTTCTCCGTATACCGCGCGAAACCCGAGACGGAAAGCTTTGATGATTTCGTCCGAGGTGTACCTGAAGTACAGAAGGGTAAGAGCAGAAGCATTATATCTTGTCAGTCGTGATGCTGATATGTCTCCAGCGGTATTTGACGAATGGGCGGCGAAGGGAACCGGGCCACTTGCTACCAACGGTATCGATGCCGGCGTGAAAATTCGCCCAACGGAAGAGGAACTTAAGGAGTTTGAGTCCTGGCCCACGCCACAGTTTAACGAAGGTTGGAAGTCATACTTCAAGAACAAGCCGGATAAGCCGGTGATGCACTATTCCATCATCGCCGGTTGGTTTGGTGATCATATGCTACTCCCACCTGGCAAATTCTTTTCCATGTTTCACTTCCTCGAGTATCCATTCTCGCGAGGATTCACCCATATCAAGTCTGCCGATCCCTACGAGGCTCCAGACTTTGACCCGGGCTTCATGAACGACGAGCGCGACATGGCACCGATGGTATGGGGTTATATCAAGAGCAGAGAGACGGCACGTCGTATGGAAGCCTATGCCGGAGAAGTCCAGGCGATGCACCCTTTCTTTGACTATGACTCTCCAGCCAAAGCCAATGATATGGATCTTGAAACGACTCGACGCTACGCCCTCCCCGGGAATCTAAGTGCCGGCTTGCAACATGGTAGCTGGAGTACTTATAACCCTGAGCCGTCAAGAAGGCCAGAAGCCAATATCCTAAACAGCAACAAGGCGGACATCCGAGATGAGCTCAAGTATAGCAAGAAAGATATCGAGGCTGTCGAAGAGTGGGTTAGGAGGCACGTAGAGAGCACGTGGCATTGCCTAGGTGTAAGTAATTGCTACTATACATACCTAATTTTAGGATCTCTATTCATACTTACATTTCACACTAGACTTGCTCTATGGCCCCGAAGGAAGGTAACAGCATCGTCAAGCATGGCGTCCTAGACGAACGATTGAACGTCCACGGCGTTCAGGGCCTCAAGGTTGCGGACCTTAGTATCTGCCCTGATAACGTTGGTTGCAATACGTAAGTTAAACATTATAATTATCCAGTATATCTTCCGTTGCCTCCTAACACGTTGTAGATACTCTACCGCTCTTCTTATTGGAGAGAAAGCAGCTATGCTAGTTGCCGAAGATCTCGGGTACTCTGGCGAAGCGCTCGATATGAAAGTCCCGACCTACAATGTGCCGGGCGAGTTGGTACTTCCGTACCGCGTGTAAAGGTATTATCTAACTGTTATGATTTCTCTTCATGTTGGAAGTTATGTAATGTTTGGGTATGATTGATTATGAACTTCGAACCAGATTGATAACTCTCGATCAATATCGGGATAACTCTTCTGTTTCCGTAATATTATGTTTTTAGTAGTAGTTAACAGGTAGTTAATGAATGTAACATATATGCGTTAAATGTCTCTTCTGATATTAGATTTGCCCTATTGACGCGAAAAAGAATAATAAAGGTCCAAGGCTCCACATCGAAACCAAAGCATTGGGTCAGACACCGTTTCTGTAGTTAATATACGGTACAATCCACACTGTATTTTCTTTACGTTTGATCAATGACGGGACAGCGGGTGCCTGGAGGATTCATCTATAATAACCCTGCGCATCAATTCGTAAGTATTTTCAAATAACTACTGCTAAAATCTATATCTTTTCTAGTCAAGTTTCAAGGTTCGTATTATTATTTTTATTAGCTTGAAGATATTTCTTAGTCTTATCCAATTTCTTTAATTATTCTCAACGCTCAACGCTCAACGCTCAATACTCAATGCTTAATGCTCAATGAAGATGCGATAGCTACTTCTAGCACACAGACACCAATGCATAAAACGCCAACCGCCTCGCAACAATTTACATAAATTCCTTCCTCGTCTTTATCTTATATTATCGTCCTTAATCAGCCATTCCGCCCTTGCATGAGACTAATCAAGGCATCCGCATATGTAGCATCACAGATTACACCATTGGAGTACGTGAAAGCGATGTATGTACGAAGTTGACCGGTTGTACTTTGAAGATAAGCCCCGTGTAACGGTGTAACGGAATCCGGAATATTTTATTTAAGACGGATAGAGATTCGAAGAGGACTTGACAGACTCAATAGTCCCTACATATATCACATCAAGGAATTATACCGAATTAATTATACGAGACTTGGTATTTCACAATGGCGTCTAATAACGATGATGGGAATGGTGAGAATAACGGGAATAACATCCATTCCGTCTCTCCCGATTCTGTCAGTGAGACGACTCCGCTTCTAGTGGTGTCGCCTGTTGCTACGACAAGCGGAAGCGATACTCTGGCCGCTGGGGACGACGAGTCTTATAGACTTCTCGATAGGCCTGAGGATAAACCACTACCTAGGCTTCAGATCTTCCTGCTCTGTTATGCGCGCCTTGTCGAGCCTATCGCATTCTTCTCCATCTTCCCGTATATCAACCAGATGGTACAAGAGAATGGCCACTGTATGTTCCTATCATCCTTCTCATTCTCATCTTCCTACAATACCCATAAGGTAAATAAATAATAAATAATGAGATAATGGCTAATATAAAACAATGTAGTGGATGAAGAAGACGTAGGCTTCTACGGCGGACTGATAGAATCGCTCTTCTCGCTTACCCAGATGGTTGTCATGATGTTCTGGGGACGAGCAGCTGATCGCTGGGGTCGTAAGCCCGTTCTTGTATCGTCCTTATTCGGCGTCGCTATTTCGGTCTCCCTGTTCGGGCTTGCGCGCTCTATCTGGCAGATGATTGTGCTACGGTGTCTAGCCGGTATCTTCGCCGGTACCGTTGTCACTATTCGTACCATGATTGCCGAGCACAGCACCCCACATACCCAAGCCCGCGCCTTTAGCTGGTTTGCCTTCACTAGTAACATCGGCATCTTCCTCGGTCCTCTCATCGGCGGTGCGCTCGCAGACCCTGCGCATCAGTACCCCTGGGCGTTTAGTGGCGTGCCGTTTTTCGAGGAGTACCCTTACGCGTTATCGTCTATTGTCGTGGGATGTATCGGCTTGACGGCTGTACTTACCAGCGCATTGTTCATCGAAGAGACATTGGATCGGAGCAAAGTCCCGAGTGCAGGCTCTAGCGATGGCGAAGCAGGCACAACACCCAAACCGGAACCTACCTCTACACTATATCTCCTTAAAGCCCCAGGTGTCCGCATCGTGCTGTACAATTACGGACACGCAATGCTCCTCGGGTTCGCGTATACTGCAATTGTTCCCGTATTCTGGTACACGTCTGTAGAACACGGCGGCTTTAGTTTTACACCCTTACAAATTTCTCTATACATGGGTCTAACAGGAGTATCTCAAGCGTTATGGCTCCTCTTAGTATTCCCTCCTCTACAGCGCCGATACGGGACCAACGGTGTTCTACGCGCCTGTGGTATCGCATACCCATTCTTTATCGTTGCTATGCCGTTCTTAAATCTTATTCTATATCAAGGAACTCCTGCCTCCAACACTGCGTTCTGGATCATAGTTCCTATCATTCTAGCACTCGGCCCGGGTGTTAGCATGGCCTTCACAGGAGTCCAGCTTGCGCTAAATGATGTATCGCCATCTCCAGCGACTCTAGGCACGCTCAATGCCCTAGCGCTGACTATTACGAGTGGTCTTCGCGCTTTTTCCCCAGTGCTATTTACCAGTCTGTTTGCTATTAGCGCTAAGTACGAACTTGTCTGGGGTTACCTCGTATGGCTGATATTGACCGTTATTGCCGCTGCTTTTACTGTGTCGACAAGATTCCTACCGGCAGCTAGCGAGAAGGACTACGACCGCGAGGTGCTATTGGGACGAGATGTGGATGACGATAATTAAGATAAAACTACCTGGTAGTGGGAGAACGTCGAAATAGGTTGGCGTTTGTTCAATTTGATCGACATAAGAGCCAGGATATTTAAGATAGAAAACATAAGGAACTACAAATCAAGGGTAGCTACTAACAGGTACCCAAAGCTGAATTTTTTTTAAAGGTTTACGTCGTTAGCGAACTAGAATAATCCCGAGTAGTTGAGACGAGGTTTCAAGAAAAACTAAATTTAGAGACTGATTAACCTGACCTAGACAATTGTGAAGGTTCGTAGAAATATAAACACCTTACAACAAGGCCTGCTGCTAGAACTAAAGCTCCGTAGAGTCATTGTATTCATGAGATGTATTCATATGACGAGTTTATTATCTTGAACGCGTTCAATCGTAATAATCGTATAATCAAATCCGGAACGCCATCCAATGCAATTGCGCTTCTGATGCATCCTTCTATTCTATGTGACCACTTAATCCCTATTCCGATTGCTGAGCCATCTTCTTACAATGAACTCCCGGACTCTATACCGTTTCAAGACCTCCGCCGCGCCGAGCCCCTCTTCAAACGGAGGCGGTATGTCTACATATGCAAGAACCAGGGTCTTCAGGGCTGTGGCCTGAACACGATTGATGGTATGAAGCCAGTGCCAAGACCTCCGAGGAGGCTGGCGGCCCTGGGTCCTCCACCAAGGATCGGTGTACGCTGGTAGAACGATAATAGCAAACTCGGCATGAGAGAATACCGGACCGCGGTTATATAACATCCAATCAACACCAAATTTGATACCAGGCCGCGTTACCCAGCCTAAAGAACGAAAATGGTGGTACACGGCATAATGAATAAGAAAGGGATCATCCGGCTGAAGATCTATCGTCCTCGGAGGTATGTACGAGACCTGGCGAAAGAGCGCGAACAGATCTAGAGCCGTAATGGGCCTGCCAGTCGCTGGATCTAAGATACTCAAAGCCCCCAGAGCAAAGACGAGATAAAAGGCCTCTTCCGGACATAATTGGAGGTGCTCCTTATCTACAAGTTCGAGTTCCGACTCAGAATTAGTCTTGGCGGTCGTCTCACTTTCAAGGGCAGGCTGTGATAGACCCAAGTCTATCGGCCGGGCCAATGGGGAAACCCCGTTTGATACACTGCCGTTAGGTGTATTCCCATTTAGCAAGACGCCGTGATGGGGGCTCGGTGGATCAAACAGTTGAAAAGTTGTCGACTCCACCTTGGGCGAAAATCGCACCGACTTGCGTCTCTTAGGGGGGTTAGTTGGAGTATGCGGCCGTGGAGAGTGACCATTCATCCCAGATGAAGCTGCTGCTATTTCCTTCTCGGCCGTAGTTGACCTATCGGCGTCTTTCGTTGTGACAGTATCTGATGATAATGAAACGCCATTTGCGGCTCCATTTGTAGTCTTATTTATGGTAGGAATCCGCTCTAAACTTTCGCTTGTTGAACCGTTAGGGTATATGGGTTTTAGATCATGCTGAGAATTTGGAAGAGCCAACAACTCGGCGGGCCCAACTGGAGCCACCCATGCTTCCTGCTGTCTGGTCCGTTCGATTGCTTCCTGCTCTTTCCTGGCACGATCCCACTTCATCAGCTTGCGCTCCTCTCGCCTCTGGACGGTTACAGCTTCAGCAACATGGCCATTATGTTCACCCCTCCGAGCCTGTTCTCGCTTAAGCCAATTCGGCTCGCTCCTACTGTAATTGCCTTTACCGAAGAACCCCTGTTCCCATAATGCTCGTATCGATTTGGGGTCTTTAATATGGACTGATCGAGTCTCCGCGGACCAGACGCCTTGATGAATTATAGTAGGTTCAGTTGGCGGTGGGGACACGAGTTGGCTCACCCATGCGTAGACCACGTGAAAAAGGGACAGCGGATTACTTGGATAAAAGGTTGGTAACGGAAAAGTACGGATAGGCGCAGGGAGCGCATATATCTGATGAAGTGGGGGTCCTTTTGGTACAGCAGAACGAGGCTTAGGTTTCACTTGGGGAGATGGGTCCGAATTTACAGAAGTTGAAGAGGTATTATGTAGGTTCGGGATGGTGGACACGATACTGGGTGTGTCTGCCATGGTTATTGCTCATCATGTCGACCTACTTTGATAGCTGTCAGCCGAATGTCATTTTTACATCGCAGCTTTCGAGTTGACGTTACAATGAGACAAGGTTGAAACGTTCAAAGGCAAGAAAAAAATAAATTCAAATAAATAAATAAATAACATGATATAATCGCTCAGATACCGTTGTAGTCTATATTGGGACACTCATCGAGACTTTTTGAAGGTCTCTAAGCACCGAATAAAAAGGTGTCATCACCGCGATAAAATATAACAAAGGAAATTTCTTCTACTTTCAGGATCGGAATCTATATGATACCAACTGCGCTGATAGAAGTTTCGAAGCTACTTACATGATTTATTAACGTCTACCTCTACCTTTAATAGAGTAGGCCATTCATTACTCTTCAAGCTATCCTGATCGAGTTCTGTATTCTTGTAGTTGAGGTAAAAAAAGTCAACCTTTTTGTAAATTTACAAAATTGTGAGTTGAAGGTTGAAAGATTTGTTAGCGGGATGCGCAAACAATAAAATAATTAAAAGGTCGGGTCTAGTCTGTCCAATTGGATTGTCGGGCCGGTATTATCCGCGGATCCGCTAGTCCGTTGAACGTTTAGCACGTGTGGTTGTGCGGTAGGGCTCTAGCCGATATGTACATGGAGAGGTACAGCTAGGTACATTAGGTACCTATGTACTGTAATGTGCCCGACAGATTGGATTAAGTGTCGCAGATTAGATATGGTCCGTGCCTTCCCGGCATTCAAACGCAAGGCCGCAAAAGCGAAGTGACGATCCTCTGCGGCTGTCATCGCCTTTTGATCACCTGTAATTTTGGTTTAATTTTTTTTCTTATTAGCGGGACCTCAGGTTCTTAGAGGATCCATCAACAATGCCGGGTGGACCGGACCGTGTTTATATTCCCTGAGTCGTAAAGCGATACTATTACCATTAAGCATTCGATATCTGATCGTCATTAGCTTTGGTATGGATGGAATGGTCTATATTAATTCCTTCTCCTTGCGTCCCGCTAGATTTGTTTGATATTGTCCTGGGACATCCACCTCGAAATTTGGTCTTTTGATTTTTTTGATTTCTTTTTTTTTTTTTTTGTCTAATTAATTATTTAACGGCCTTCTATTCTTCATCCTGATATGTTCCAATGCCTTCATACATTGTTCAGGCGTTAGGTAGCGCAGGCATCATATGGGGCTTTACCATCGTTTTAGTTCAAAGCATTGGTCTCTATAAAATGTAAGAATTCCTATACGTTCTCTATCCATTCTCTACACATTCACATAATCTATGAAGGTATATTTCTAACTCCGGTCTCAAATAGCTTCCGTTACTATTCGTCAGTCCCCGCCGCCCCGGTGTCTCCATACCTACCGAAAGATGAGGTGCCGCACGTAACTATCATCCGGCCTGCCAAGGGTCTAGAACCCGGCTTGTACGAATGTCTTGCCTCCGTATTCCACCAGTCTTATCCGAAAGACAAGTTGACCATCTACTTCTGCGTCTCCTCCAAGGAAGATGCCGCGTACCCCGTCATCCTCAAGCTCCTCGATAATCACTCCGATTTCGATGCCAAGGTTTTCGTCGAAACCGAAGACCCTTACCTCCACGGTGATGGCGGCCACGTCGATAATGTTGGTCCGAACCCCAAGATCCGCAATTTGAGTAGGGCGTATAGAGAAGCGAAAGGGGATATAATATGGCCTCTAGACTGCAACGTGTGGATAGCAAGGGATGTAGCTGGTCGTATGGTCGATAAGCTCTGCGGATACAAACCGGACGGCAAGCGAGCGAAACCTTTCAAGTTCGTCCACCAACTACCTTTAGTAGTAGATACCGTTACCTCTATGAGCTCTTCAAACTCCGCAGGACAGACTCTACTGTCCGGATCTTCAGTGACTGGCGGCTCCGATGCGCAGTCTAGCGTCGACGTGCCGTCTTCTGTTTTGTCTAGGTCCTGGGCTCACGGGGGCGGAAGATTGGAGGAGATGTTTATGGCTACGACGCACGCTAAGTTCTATGGCGCTATTAATACCGTTGGTATTGCGCCTTGCATTGTTGGGAAGAGTAATATGTTCCGCAAGTCGCATCTCGATCAAGTTACAGATCCAGCCCAAAACCCAATCTTGACAGGCAGAGCCGCAACTCTGCCCAAGGGCCTAGATCATTTCTCTCTCTTCATGTGCGAAGATCACGTCATTGGTGACCTTCTATGGCGTTCCAATCTGCCCGGCTTCGCAAATCATGGTCTTGTTTGGGGCGACCTCGCGATCCAGCCTATGGCGGGAATGTCAGTACCCGCTTACGTCGCACGTAGGGTGAGATGGTTGCGTGCTAGGAAATGGACCGTATTGTCAGCTACTCTAGTCGAACATGGCGTCGAGAGCCTCGTGTGCTGCTTCTACGTGTCCTTCGGTCTTACTAGCGTTCCTTGGTTTCATCAGACCCTTGGCATCCCACAAACTTGGAAGGCTCTGTGGCAGCTTTGGCTCGCTGGCGTTGCGCTCTGGATGGTTGTAGACCGGATCGTATTCAGGAAGTTGCATGCAGGACACAGCATACACGTGGACGAACAGACGCCATTATTTGCCCGGGGCACGAGCCGCGGCGGAGCTGAAAAGCGCCGATTCGGCGAGTGGTTCCTGGCTTGGTTAGGACGGGAGGTCCTGGCCCTCCCTGTCTGGACGTGGGCCGTCTTCCTCGGTGCCACCGTGAATTGGAGGGGAAAGCAATTTCGGGTCCGATCAGATATGACGGTCGTTTCGATAGATTCGGAGCCTGAGGAGCGGGCTTCGGCGCAGAATGGGCACGGCGCCAATGGCATGTCGAGAACAAGAGGGAAGAGAGATTAGACCCAAGATACCCCAGCATTTATTAACACCTAATATATAATTCATCACGTCAGCCGCATTGCTGGGTCGAATTGGCATCTTGACAGGTATTTATATCGTGTTTCCTAACTATATTTTCCCGACGTAGCCCATCTAGCCCAGGCAGCCTTACACAAGGTACCTATACTCTGTTCACGCCTAAACTACCTACTTCGTATACCGGAATTTTCTCCTAGACGTCCTCAATAATGTTCATATCCCAGAGACGTAGACCGTAGATTAAGATTGACCTATCTCGCGACTTTTGCAAGTAGTATGCCTTGGGTACCTAATTTTGACTGCATCACGATGCTAGCCTCACAATGGAGAACCTTCATCCACTCGTATATCAGGGATGCCTCATTCACCAACTAAACACTCAGATGCAGAAGCCTCACTTGACGAAAGAAGCTTGAATTTAATATTTTTTATTCAGACATCGAAATAAATAAATTTCCCCATCTGTTTGGTATATCCATCTCGTGCGCAGTAGCGACTCATCTATATAATTAAATAAAACAAGGCGGCAGAGTATCAGTTAGTAATAATATCAGTAAAAGTAAATAGGATCCTGGGTATAAATTTCCCGTTTGCAACATCATCATCATCCTATCCCATCCGACGATATGGACCGAAAATCGATTTGAGTAATGCAACGCTTACACGAATATAAAAATAGTAGTACTGGTACAGCCTGCCGGTTTTCCAATTCGAACGAGGACCATGACAATATTTCCGAGCCAGCGAAATGGGTATAAAGTATGTGTGTGTATATATGTATGTCATGTCATGTCATGTTCCCAGTTCCAGCAGATTCCATTCCGTCACGTCCTATTCTTTTTGACCCTCGTATCCCTAAGCCCAACGTTATATGATTTAGAGGCCAGATAGACAATGGTTGGGTATCGATTTTGTAACATTGAACAGGCAAGAAAAAGCCACGCCGATGGATGCAGGTAAGAAAAAATGAAAGTCGTGGATTATCCAACTTGACGGAAGGAAAATGTGTGTTGAACATGTGGAATCTGTATCTCGCTCTCGGTAGCATAAGCCGTCATCAATGTGTTCGACAAATAACTCCGTGAGGGCAAACAGATAGAAAACGTAAGACAGGTAAGTTGCAGTAGCAAACGTCAGCGTAGCAATCATTCAGAGCCCCATCATCTCATTCTGGCCAAGGAACGTCCTGGCCAACTCGTCTCCGCCACGTTCGGCTTCCTTCATCCAGTGGATGGCGACGCACATCAGAGTCGGGTCGCTCCTAACGTCACCGTCCATAGTCGTGTCCTGCATTCCTGAAGAGGACGGGCCAGCCGTGCCTAGATTGCTTCGGCTCCGATCAGCCGAATGGCGGGCGCTACTCCCGGGTCGCGGACCGAACTTCTCCATAACGGCTTGCTTAAATACGTCTCGCGGCTTCGATAAAGGTAACGTACTCCTCTCGACAAGCTCGGGGTTACTAAGGTTAAAAAGGCCCAGCTCCCGCTGCGCTGTGGCATTGCCCTCCTTGGCCGCGATTGTCCACATCTTCGCCGCGTCGCGAAGAGAGTGGATCGGCGGCTGGCGCATCATCTCCGGCGCATCGTCGCTACCGCCGGGACGCTTCCTCGACGGCGTGTAGTAATTCAGGATCTCGTCCGCAACCTCGACCATCGTCGTAATGGTGTCTTGCTTGAGCGAGAGCGCCACTACTACGATATCCCAGAAGGCCTTGTTTCGATCCGTGTCTAACGTGGATGGGGATACAAAAGAATTAATGAATTGTAGATCGCGGAACAGCGTCTTGGGCCGTATACCCGCGTCTTTGAATAGAGACCGAAGTACTCGTGCGATAGCGTCGGTGTTAGTTGCTTCTTTCACAGAGACGATAGAGCGAGCATCAGAATTCTTGGTAGAACGAGGTTGGATAGGGAACATGTGCGACTGGAACGGTTGGGAACGCCGTTCTCTGTTATTATCGCCACCAGTTTCGTTCGCGTCCGACTTCCCCGGAACGCTGCCATCATCGTCGACGGATGCGGACTGGTGTCTCGTAGTCCACCGAGACCTACGCGAACCGTTCGACAGTGAAGCAGATATAAGACGCTCCAATTCGAGTAGAGCATTAAGCTTGGTGTATGGATTTGGGTGGACGGCGAACATTCCTAGAAGCCTCTGGTACGCTTTCGTATAAGGGAATTCCGGAGTTTCCTTCTTCTTCGAAGACCTTGCGCGAGCTGAAACCGTATCGCTCGTGGCAGAGCTATCGTTGCTCCGCCCCGAAGCACTGTCGGGTCTATCAGAGCCTAGGTCAGCCCTCGATGCCTCTCCTGCCTGCCGAAGGTTACCGAAACTCTTCCTCTTCTCTATCACTCTCTGCTTAGCGGAACTCTTGCTAGCGCGGTCCCTCTTTACCGAAGGCCTCCGCGCTCTTCGCTCCTCGGCATCTCGGCGGTCGATACATTCTTGTCCCAAATTGCCAAACCAACCATCAGTCTCAGAACCAGACGCGAACACGAGGTTACCAAGCTCGGAAAGCAGCAGACTGGTTAGGGTCTGACGAAGATCTGTAAGAAAACGTTGTTTGCCTTCTGAAAGGCGGCGGAAATGAACAGTTTCGTTCGATGATACCGATGCACCGGACCGCGAAGCCGAATGATGAGACGGCAGCGGTTGGTGATTCGGTTGAGAAAACGTGCTGGAAAGATTTGTGACGCTAGTCGTTGGCGACTGCGCACGTGAAGTTGCCGAGCTGACAGTCGACATGGTAGATTGGAAAGGAGACCAGTATGTGGATGTCGAATCTATGGCATGGATAGGAGATGACGCCCCAAAATAATCATGTGAATCGAAAGTATCAGACATCGCAGTGCTGGCCCTAGAGAAACTATATCGATGATGGGAATCGATGGAGACCTGGCTTGTATTGTATGCGGACATACCTCTGAGGTCCCTAGCCATAGAGGCGGGACGGCGTGTGGGAGATGCATATCGCCTTTCGTGGTCGCTGCTAATGACACTGGCGGCATCGTCACCCCACATGCTTTCTTTATCCCGGCCTATACGAGGACCTTCGAACGCTTTGCGATCACGAGAGTACAGTTCGCTAGACCAGAGCACAGGACCATCCACGATATTCTCGCCGACTAGCTTTGATACGCAGCTATCGACTTCACAGCAGAATCGGTGTATACGCTCTTCACCCTGGCACATATTCTGAATGCCGAGCTGTTCTAACCACTTGTTGGTTATATCGGCTTGAGCGTCGCTGAGCTTATTCGGACCTCCCTGCTCTTCACCAGCTGCTAATATATCTAGCATCTGCGACTCGTTTCGATATATATAAGCAGCAGCGGGACCTCGGGCCAGCTGAGCTCGGTTGCGTTGAAAGGAGCCCCATTTCCGCGGCACGCCCATTATCTTTAGCGCGCTGCAGATGTTGCGGGTTTGCTCGTAAGGAGCCGAGTTATGAACGTCCGTCACATACCACATCTTGTCTCGAAGCGCCTTCAGGCGTTTCATCATAGTCTCAATCAGACCTTCGTGGCGCTCTTGGCTCTGCTTTAGCCATACTAACCACGCATCATACTCTTCGATGGCCGAGGCAGAACGGCGGATCGAGTCGCGAGGACCTCGAGAAAATATGTTGAGAAGAGTAGCAAATCCATTCTTACGTAGGGAGGGGGACGATAGAGCATTCAGCTGTTGGAGTGTCTTCCAGTATAGATGCGCAGACACGAAGTCGGACTGGATACGCGATTGTGACGAGGCGGCAGAGAGCATGGTGATCAACACAGACGAAGAACCAGCCTCATCCGCAGGCTCTTTATCTTCAGAAACATGGGAAGATTCTTCGGCAGCCTGCTTCGCTTTCTGTTCTTCTTCGTACTTGCTACGAAAAGGGTTACGGCTGCCCATTGTCGTCCCTGGCGTTATAATTTTATTCTTAGACCGATACTTCTTAAGCCCCGACGCTCGATTACTAAATGTGGTCTTGGTGCCGTGGTCTTCAAGACCTTGGGGGATTTCGAAATCCTCGACAAGTTTCAAGACAGAGTCTCGTAGCTGGTGGTAGTCCTTATCAAGCTCGGGCTTCTCGTCCGGCTCCTCATCCTCCGTATCACTGGTGGTAGAGGAATTTTCCTCCTCTGCCTCATCATCAGGATCGTACGTCATCTGTGAAGAAAGACTATTCCCATCAGCGGAGATGAATACGACAGCCCAGCGCTCGGCGCACGGGTGACACGATCCCGAAATCGCCTCCGGGCCTAGAATTTGGGCCATCTCATGCATTGCTAGTCGAAGACGATATCCATCTTCTTCGTAATTATTAGCATGTTTCTGCCTCGTCCCATCGGACATAGGCGGCGAGCGTCTCTGGGGAGTACCGGCTACCTGTTCTTCGAGTAGAGGATCGCCCGAAGTGGTTCCATCACTAAAAACGGACGAAGCACTCATACTGAGGACGGAGGCTGTCTCAAAGTTACTCCTAGACGTGCCGATGGATATCGGCTGCGATATGGCAGAAAAGCCTGATATCGACGGCGCACCAGACCGGATACTACTCGAATGAGCAGATTGCGGTCTACGCTCCGGGAATAGCGCATTAGAAAGCGTGACAAGGTCAGCGGGACTAATTACCAAATAAGGATGGACCTCAGCGGTCTCCCGCAAGGAAGTAATAGACCTAGCGGGGAGCAATCTACCAGTCCTTCTCCCCGACGGTTTGAAACGAGCCAGAATATTTTCAACGTGGCCCTTGATCTTCAGAGGTGTCGATACGGGCTTCTGGGCGCTACTGTTGGCGAGCATCTCCACGACGTAATGCTGGGCAAGCGTAGCAACCTGCTTGAGGATCTTCTGGCGGCCGTATTCAGTAATATGATACTCAGTCATCATTCCGTAACTCTCTGGGTGGATGACAACGGCAAGTAGCCAACTAGAAAAGAGCCACTTGTATACAAACCATCTACGTGTGGTATCAACGAGGCCACGCGTACTATCCTTCATCTCCAACCGGCGAAGGATCTCATTTCCAAGTTCAATAACACCTTCCGGAATGCCGGTTGCATCTTCATCATCAATAATAGCAAAAAGATCGTTAACAGCACGATCGTAGAACTCCTCGGCAGCAATGCTATCCTTAGTAGTCCAATCCGAGAGGTTGAACCTCGTCCCGTTCTGGTCCTCCGCTCGGTCGAGCAGGAATGCACCATCCTCGAGTATCTTCATCAGGTACCATTCCATATTGGCTCGTCCAGACCAATCACGCATGGCAGACCAGGCATTGAGGATCGAGATCAGGACCGGCTCGCTGGTAGATCTGGTGGAGATCAGGCGAGCAAAGGCGGTAGCCCAAATTCCCGTCCTCCGTTTGTCCTCGGCGCTGTCTGGGCCGGCCGAGTTAGCGAAGCAAGTATAAATCAAACCAGATAGGGGATCGTGGCGCTGGAATGAAAGAAGCCGCTCGACGGCATTGGGAGTTTGTCCCGTCTGTCTACTAGGGCCGCTAGAATGCCCACGGCCGCCGGTTGAACGGCCGTGGTACGGCAAGACGGACTCTATCGGCTCCAATCCCTGATGAAAAGTAGTTAGAGCTTGGAGCTCCGTGGTATTCAGGGCACACAGCCGAGTAGCTAAGTAGTCCGGGTTTGTCCGGATCTGAGTAAGAAAGTTTAGGAAGGCTTCTCTAGCAGAAGCCGAGATATCATTAAAAAAGGGGGCGACGGAGCTACCAGGACCAATGCTCCCCGCCGTGCTAGGTGGTGGCACGAGCGTCTCGACAGACGCTACTCCGGACGATTGCAACGACTCCATATCAGGTTCCAAAAGAGCATAGCGACGGGTGGCGTCGCAGCTATTCCGAACATCATGGATAGCACCATACAAGTTAGCAAACGCCCTCTTATCATCGTTCCGGAAGCTATCCGCTAGGTTGCGCAGCGAGGTCTCTCCGCACCGGGTCAGGCGCGCCGAGAGGGCAGTGGAAATCAGGCTTCTTTGAAGACGAATGCGAGTGTTGGCGCACTTGCGCTCCTGGTATTTGGAGAGACGGACCAAATGGGCGAGCTCTCCAAGCGTGGTGCCTTCATTTTCGACGGTCAGATGGGGGTTCGTATACAGGGATACGTCAGCTAGGAGCGTCCGCGGGAAGGGTCCCGAGTCTTCTTGGTCTTTCAAGATGGGCTGCAACGGGCTAGACGGGGCGGGCGGGCTAGAAGCCGGAGACGGGGACGGAGGCGACTTTGGTGGGCCTACGACTTGGTCTATCACCGGTTTCTTGGGCGCACTCGCGCCGGCACCGGGATTGGCGCTAGACTGCTGCTTCGAAGTCGCATCGCGAAGCGTCTCGTCGGTACCAACTTTACGAACAGACCCTGACGATTCTCGCCGGCGGTGCCCACTACCGGGTCGACCGGGGCTTCGCGATCGAAATCGCCGCGGGCGCGATACTTCGGCTCTCGTTTCGGGTGAAGGAGTCGGGGACCGCGATGGCGGACTGGTGGCGGAAGGGGACGCGGCTACGTGACGGCAAGGCGATAAGTCAGCAATCTGTTACGAATAATTGGATAGGCCAACCTGGGCACTTCTAGCAGTGCTCTCCTCTCTTCTAACTCGACTCACGTGGGGAAGAATGTATGCAAACGGGCGACGACAGGGATCGCTGCATGGAAATCATAGTGGGCGCATGCGATGATATTCGCGAGCGCACCTTTCACCCCAGCACGACCAACAGCACCCCTTAAACAGAGAGCTGCTAGGTAGCCACGGTGGATACGATTGCTCGATCGTTCGTCGACTTGGTATAGGTTCTTTCAGGTTATGTCATCTAGATATCAAGCGGGATACTTGCGACCTAGCTTCGACGGAAGTAGAATGGCGCCCGCGTTATGCGTGTGCGTTGCGCGCGGGTAGTTTAGGGTAAATCAGGAAAGATAAGGATAGGTAAGGTAGGGTAGAGGTCAGGTTTAGGTAGGGCGGAGTTGGGCTTCAAATAGTAAGAGAATATAATTAGAATATGGTAGAGCTTCGGAGGGGGGGAAACTGAGGGACTGAGGGACTATCGATAGCAAGTCAGATCCGAGTCGCGGTCGGTTGGTCGATCGCAGATCAATACAATGTCGGAAAACTAGTTGGAATTATTGGGCAGCGCGAGCCGTGAGCTGTATAAGCAGGAATATGGTCTTCTTTTTCTAACCCTCTCTCTTCTCGGTAGATATTGGGTAAATAATAATGACCTCAGCTAGTGCTAATCATCGAATCATAACATCAATCTTGATCAATACGTGAGTTGTTCCGTCTCGTTCGTCCGTTCGCTTGGTAAATAGGTAGGTTAAGAAAACGTTCGTTTGCGCCTTGTCGGCTCCGGCAACCCGGTATATAGTATATAATCGGTATATATAGGTTAAAAGTATATAGGTATATATCTAAGTAGGTATATACCTAGGTAGGTATACGGCGTGTTCCCGCAGGATCGGAAGGGAATAGGAAGTAGATGAATGAAGAAAGTAAACAACAGTAGCAGCAGCAGCAGCAGCAGGGAATAAAAAAAAGAAATGCAGATAATAACAGCAGCAGCAGCAAAGTGCAGTGCAGCAAGGCAAGTGCAGCTCAGTTGCAGAAGCCGCGCATAAGAGACAAGATGATGTGTCTTGCCGACTCGCCTTCATTCGACCATCCTTGGAAACCTTGTCCAGCTGTCGAAGCACTACCCAGTTACACAACAGAATTTAGTTGTCGCACTGTCGTTGGCCGACGTGGGGTAAATCGATGAGACCGCTTAGTACCGCTTAGACAACCGATTAAGACGGTCTGTTCTGTGTCCACATGTTTACTGTGTTAGGTATAATTGTGACAAGTTAGTTGTATTAGTTGTATTGTTGTATAAGACTAAAATACTATTATTGCGCCGTAGCGGCATTGGGAAAGTGGCTAGGTATTAGCTGGCATGAACTTACACTAAACTAGTATTAACTACCTGGCATTAAAATTGACATAGCTGGCAGAAGTCGCGAGCTGTCAGTTGCCACAGGTAAAGTCTAGGTACCTAACACGAACTAATTCGCGCGGGTACAACAAATAGGTACCTCCGCTATCGTGGCGTCTAAGCATTCCCAAACTCTTAGAGTTTAACTACAAGTGCCGCAAGTCCGTGCCAACCCTTCCCGTAGGTGGTATACATTTTTACTTTTAGGTACTTCTATGGTTGGATCTTACCGTACTTTAGGGCCGTCTAGGTCCGTCTCCACACGGAGCCACCCCCTTCTTTCTCTCCATCTTAGCCTTCTAAAATTCCCCTGTCTCTTCTTCCACCGCCAACCCCCCCCGTCCCCTTCCCCCCAAAAACTGCAGACAACCTAAGCAGCTGGGCCACCCCGAAGGTTTGCCAAATAATCTGAATGGATCTAAATAGACCAACCACTTACGCGCAGCTTAAATCTCGTCCCTCATTTTTGGCGGGTGTGTACAACACACAAGGCGACCATAATGATGACGATGCCACAGCATATGCACACCCTGTCACGGAGACAAGGTCGAAAGCCTGTAACTGGCCAGCCCGATAAGGCCCTGTCAATGCTGGCAATACGGAAATAGTCATCCTCCCTCTCTAACTGTTCTCCTGTTCGTTAGGGTTGAATTTGGTGCGTCCTGGTAAATAACCATCTGGTCTCTTATCAAATCATCCCCCTGGTCATACTATAACACAGCTCGAAGTCGAGTCCTTCTTTGCCCCGCGGCTACACACCGAAAATAGTTCGAACACAGTATGACAAAGACGACAGAAACAGTCTATCAAAGTCTCCAATGTCTCTCTACCTCGTCTACGTTTTTAAGAGATACCTCTACGAGATACATTTTCTGATTGTCCTTCCTCGGCTCTTCACATTTGACAGCAACGCGCAAACGGCGCAAAAAAGGGGGGCCGCAGCCAATGATCCAAACAGGCATTGACAAGCAAAGCTGACCAAGGAAAATACCGGCATCTTTTTACAAGAGACGGAGAAAAGAGCGGAAGAGATCAGATACTCTATTTTCTTTTCTCGTCAGGTATCATTAGCAGCATCATCCAAATGAAGCACTCTTCGCGTTACGGGATGCAGGAATCCATCATCTCACTCAGCCAAAAATCCAGAAAATCCAGAAAATTCGCAAACTTTCCGACATTGCCCAGTGGCTCCAGCTGCCTTCCAGTGGTAAAAAAGACGGCTCCCGGCTGGGCATAGAAACGATGAGTTGGCCCTGCATACTGCATCGCTAGGCTTCGCTTCTTCGCTTCTTTGCCTTCCATGCCTCTTATTTTTTTTTATTCTCATCTTACCTAAATCGTCACCCTGCCCTGGCGGTCCAAGGCTGCATCGCCCGAGACGGCGGTCAACGTTGCAGATCCCATCGTAGCCTTTTGGAATATTTCCCGCCGGCGGCTCGCTAATAAAAAATGAAACATATGTTGATAAACCTACTAACTCGCAATAACTTACAGCGGTCCCCACGAATGAGGCCTTGTATAGCCCTTGGACAAGCCTTTGAGCAACCCTTGGAGACCTACAGCTCGTCCAATCCCCATCGTCCACGCGCGTGCCATGCAGACCGACTCCTGCCAACGCATCCAAGCATCCAATTGCCTTCTGGGTGTCCACATATTCCATTTAACGCGTCCACGACGCCCGCTCTTCCTAATTTCTATTTCTTTTTTTTTATTCTTTCCTTTTTCTTCCTCGCCCCCGACCAATCGCCTCCGGTCTGTTTTCATAAGCACCGGACGACGGTTGGCTGGCAATACTAATAGTCCGTCTACGGCCTATTCGTGGTCTTTCAACCCATTGGATACCCGGCTGCAATGCATGATGACCAGCGGCTTGATTAAAACTCGACATCGGGCAACCATGGGCAGGGTTTCGGGCAGAGTCGTGTCCAAGATGTCCAAGATTTCCCAATGCGGCCCAACTAAATCCCACCCGCGTTCTTTTTTTGGCTGGGAACCACGCGATGCTAATATGCTCAGCTATCCGATTCCCCCATTCAGCCTTGTACAGATCTCGTCGATGCACGTCAGTTACACCATCCCGGCGCCCGGTGGAGCCTCATACATAGTAAAGAACGCGTTCGTCTGAACTTTAGATCCTTATTATAGGAGATTTCATATGCATATACGTAACAGCCAACCGTTATTCGAGAAAGATGGTCTATACTGCCTAACTTGGTAATAGACTTCCTCGATCCATCTCATCGCATGGGTGGGGTATATTAGAACTTCGCCCGTAGTATAGACTTTTCTCGATAATCAAGATTCCGAGGTCTGATTACGCCAATTAAGAGAGGCATTTAAGTCGTCGAGACCAGTCATACATATTAGGTTTAATACATGTACAGCATTGCGGGCTTCCCTAACAGGCCTAGGTAGACATGATCCGAAACAGCTCCAACGTATAAGTATGAATGGAGAAGAAGCAACATTTCGGTAGGCTACAGAATGGGACAATAAGCATAGCTTGGAGCTCATCACTCACCTTTGAGTCAGCTCACAGATCGTTCCAAAGTTGTAGATTCGGGGAGACCCACAGTCTATGAATAACACGAGTTCGCAAGCTCGACCGGCCGAGCGATTTTTGCCATCCATAGATGATGCTCACGATACACCGATATACCGATACACCCTATATCCGAAGCAGGATTCAGACATCGTCACGGTGCATACTTCGATCTGCGCTTGCTGGCAGTCTGGGCTCTAGAAGACATCTTGGGCAGTCATCGAAATTCTATACCGTTTAGTTAAGCAGCTATAGTAAATTAGAACCAGATAGAATTGAACTTTCTAGTAACAACGTGGTCATATGCATACCCCGTACTATAGCCCCTGGCAGATACCCACATCGACTCTACGTATTGACATTATTCACCCATTATAGCTATAGAGCCCAACTAGACCTTTCCTAGCCCACGGTATCGTTGGCCTATACGGTCCAGTTTATGAAACTGAGCTCCTCTAGAACATGTAGTCAGCCGCTGTCAGTGTGGAACCGTATCACGCCTAAGAGAAATGAAGTATAGTAGGGGGCATTAACGATGGGTTCAGACCAATTCAACATGTGTTGCGCATATATCCTTATACGTACCCCAGTCGGAAGTGGCACGGTGGAGGATCTATCTGTAGTAAGTTATTAGTAATTCAAAAGAGTCACAACAAGCGCACGCCGGGGGTTATGACACGTTGTAATATTGCATGTTGAAGACCGGCGTCCGTTCCGTCTATAACTCTAAGAGGATAAACGCGTAAAGGCGAGGACATAACAACTACCCTATCAGAGACGTCGTAATCAAGAACTCCCTCAACTCCAACAGGTGGATATTCCTTCTCGGTAAACAGCCTCAAAAGACAGAATCTTGGAATCGTCCCAAAGGAAAGTCACAAGCAGATCCACTAGAATCGGAGAGAAGGAGATCATCTGGATCTAGATGGTCGCCCTAGATAGTCAGTCGTCCGGATTTCCTCGCACAGCATTGTTCCGCCCATTGGGACCGCGTCGTGGCACTGTAGATATACACCACGTAATGTATCAACGTATATAAGCGATAATAGCTTACTACAACTTCGTTTTCGGTACGAGCACATTATCAGACGTATCATAATAGTTACCAGTTGTCCTAGCTAAAAGGCATCGCGGAGGCCAAGGGGCGCGT